ATTGCCTTTTTACACTTTCCTCTTTTTATTCAAGCAAGTTTAACTTTCAGAAGCTGACAGAAAAAAAAAACAATAAACATTCCCAATGACAGACATTTTTTTCTTTTGCATAAAATTATTGTGTCTTTGTAATAAAAGCAGTTTTGATTATTTTCAGCTAGAGGAAAAAACCCCCAAAAAAAGTGTTGCTTATTCATCTTTTACATCTTCATTTTTGGATGAACTGATTTTAAGCTCCAGGACTGGTCATGAGGACTTCCTTCAACACTGGCTCGTAAATCTCAACATCTCTGCCACCCTGTTGACACAATACAAAGAAAAATCTGATAAAATAACACAACAAAAAGTTTTACTTTTAATTTAACTCATGTTTTACAATCACTACAAACAGTAATCCATCCTAATACCACAACCTCTACCACTAATGCTACTGATATTGCTAGTCCAGCAGCTATACTAGGAATACTACTACTAATAAGTACTATTAACCACCAATTTGATTGTGATCTTGTGGGTTTGCCTTGGTTCATACCTCGCCGTTCTTCCTACCAAGCAGAGCCTTGATGCCCAGAATAGCAAAGCTAATGCAGACACACAGCTGGAGAACAGCCAGGACGATCATAGTAATGTCCATGGCTGTCAACAAACGCTGATGAGGAGAACAAATAAGAAAGACAGAAAAAAAAGGAAAACATTCAATTTGAAAGAGGTTTGACACTAAACTTTAATGTTTAAAAGTTTAAAATGTAAGTAGTAATGATTTACACTGATTCCTGCACTGTGAAACAGACTCTGTTTTAAGTTACATTGTGAATACTGTACTGAATGCTATACTGTATTGTGTTTTCAAGTTTAACATTACAGGACAGGGCTGGAAAATTGCGATGTTTTTGTCATTGTCAATAAAAACCCCAATATTAATTGATGTCTGTATCAAAAGCCTGATAATTGTATTCCTCTGTGCCATAGAGCTCCATTGATCCAATAAGGCAGTGGTTCCCAACCTGGGGGTCGCCAAAACTTCCCAGGAGGGCACAATCCCTCATTTTACACAAACTTCCTGAAGTTATTGTGTACACTATTTGGGTTCATTGTACAGTTTATCAGCTGTTCTGCATTCATTGAATATTATATGAAATATCCATAAAATCACTTTGTTAGGGGTCGCCAGTTTATCATGACTTTAATCAGTGATAGAAAAGGCGTCCCTTCAGGATGAAGGTTGGGAACTACTGCAATAACATGTTGCTTCATTACTGTGAACGCACATACTGTAGTTTATTTTGAGTCTGTTCACCATCCTGCTGCATCCTCTATAAACTCCCCTTTGAATAACTAAAATCTACAGTGCCCAGTTGCTGAGCCTTTAAAAAAAAAAATGGAACTATGTATTTGTGTGTTGGTTTTAAATGATTATCTAATCAGTTGGAACATAAAGGCCTTTTCATGGGATTTGTTGAAAGTAAGAAACATATAGCATAAAACAAGCATTATCCTTTAAAAGTATGCTTACCTGGTAAAGGTACGCCATGTATCTGCAGTTGTCATCATTAGTAGACATATTGCTCATGTACCCGTTGCTCCAGTTACACATCCTGTAGACAGTGCTGTCTCCCAGGTCCATGCCATACAGCACAATGCCAACAATGGCAAAAATGGATCCAATTATGTTCACGAACACAGCGAAGCCCACCTGAGAGGAAAGACATTATTCTTTTAAAAGTTTAGTCTTAAACCCTTTTCAGATGCATAACATCTCCCGTTGTACAGGGGTTTTTTCTACCGGACTGCAAGGGTTTACTGATTGATTTGACATGTGAAGAATCACCTGAGCAACTTTTGGCTGATGATTGAGATATTCATACGTGTGCCGTGCTGAAAGTGATACGGAAGACTTTCACATAAAAGTGGGATCAGGGTGCTTATTAAAACCCCAACAGAAAGAGCACGAAAGGGCCTTTAGTCTTTACTTACCAAGCAAAGAGAGGGGAACCGGTCAGCAAGAAGTGACACAATTCCAGCTGCAATGTACTAAAGAGGGGAGACAGCTTAGTCAAATTCATTAAAATTTGTTATATTGTATTTCACTTGTGCTATAAGTTATATTTCCATGAATTATTTCTCATAAAGAAAGAATCATTTCTAGAATCAGTAAATGTTGTTCTCCATTTAGAAAAGCCTGTTCTGCTCATTCTGGTATCTGGTTGGTAAAGCACCTCAAAAACATCAGGAAACTTCCTGTTGTTGCCACAACACTCTAGAGCAAAGTTAAACAAATTAAATAAATATGATCTAAAGCTATAATTAATGTAACAAAACTATTTACCACACCACCCAGCCAGTAAGCAGTTCCCAAATTATTAAAATCATCAGGTTGATGGCTTATCCGTCCTGGCCCAAGTCCAATGTTGAACAGGCCCACCATGATCTGTACAGTCTGTTAAAGATTTAAAACAATTTAAGACATCTTAGGACCACCACTTAATACTGCATATGAACACACATTTCAATTTATCTCACCCCAAGAGCTGAAATGGCCTTGTTCTGCATCAGCCCCTTGTACACTGAGCAGCACACTGGACTGTAGCAAAGACTCTTGAGGATTTGGCACAGCGGTGGTAACATGCTCTTACTGTCAGACGTCACAGTGACCACAGTCACTCCCTCGTCTTTGACAACAGTGACGGACATCTCTCTCACACCTGCAACATGACATGGAAGTTTTGGGATGGATGGCTGGATGCATGAATACAGTTCTTTGTTAATCCCATTGGGAAATTGCAGTAACAGCAGCCAAGTAAATCACAAAACAAATAATATAAGTAAACTCAAAGAGGTAGATAATAATTTAAGTTTTAAAAACATAAATACAAACAGAACAGTATAATTTAACTGAACTAAAAGTAAAACCTGAACAATAAATGTAATATTCTGCACATAATCTATACATTTATGTACAGGTATGTAACACACAGGTATAATACAGAGATCAACACTAAGATATTGAAAATAATAATAAAAAGCAATGTTTTAATCAAATCTCTAGAGTCTCTGGTAACCCTATCAACAACCCAGTGGCAGATAGGTATCACAAAACCACCACAAAGAGACAAAAAGACCACAAAATTAAACAAAATGAGGCTAATAGCAGATATGAATATAGGCCTATTACATATGTATAAGACTATTTTAAGTTGTTTATTTTGTGTTCATTGTTACACTAAATAAAAAATGGTGCTTTTCAAAAGACAGGGCATCATGTTGTCTGTTCCTCATTTGCATAAGGTAGGGGTCTAGTCAGGCAATTTTAATAATGAATTGCTATATTCACTTCTTAAGCAAAAATGCCCCAAAATTCCCCTGTTCCAACTTCTCAAATGTGATGATTTGTTGCTTTTCACTGTTTCCTGTTACTGTAAACTGAATATTTGGGGTCTGCAGGCTTTTGTTGACAAAGCAGGACATTATTTGCTTCAGTTTTCCGTTTAAGTCCCTCCCTGAGGTATGATTCCTGCATGTCTTGTGGAAATAAAAACAAGAGAAAGTTGTGGACTGAGTGAATAGCGTCCAGTCAACCAGCACATATTTCAGGTATTTAACGCCTGTGATAAGGTGTTCTCATAGCCAGTGTGGCATGGATCATGTTGTTTGTTAAATAATAGTTATGCAGGTTTAAGGTTTCACAAACCGGCTTTGTCATGTGGAGGGAGGAAGTTCCCAGATATCGCTTCTCATCCTCACATATCTCAACCTCTTATCGTAGAAAGGCTGACACAAAATGTAACAAAAGCTTTCCCAAAAGGTTTAAAGTAGGAAATTAAAATCAATCAGCAATACACACACACACACACACACACACACACACACACACACACACACACACACACACACACACTAAAATAAAAACTGTTCAATCAAAATGGTAAAATGACATAAATACATAAACAAAGGTTTATATATATATATGTAAATATATATATATATACCATTACTCATATCATTAAAACATGATTAACAAAAAATCCATATCACCATGTTCAAAGCTCAATAAACAGATTATCTCTTTGTAAGGTTCATATTATTATGAATTGTGTGTTTTTGTGTGTGCAGAGAACTCACCTGGTTCGAGGATAAAGACTACCTGAAACTGCGACAGTCTGGTTATTTGCTGGTGGTGAGTTCAGGTTCAGGTAGCAGCAAAAAAAAAAAAAACAACAACTGACATCCTGTCGCCCATTTGATTTCTTCAAAATAAAAGCGACATTAACTGCTTGAGTAAAAGTAGCAACACAAAGTAGTTATAGACCTGCAATCAAAGTTTTACTCATGCGTAATTTAATGTCTGTGATCAGTTTTAAAAGTATATACACAATACTTCTCTCAGATGTTGGGGTACAATCACAAGCCGAGAATCCTCAAAATGTCTATAAGACAGTACACCCAAACATTTTATAACTCTATAAACATTACTGGTGATAATCATTTTATTTTTAATGTTTATGATAAAGGATTAGATACCAATTAAAAACATTTTTAACTTTTATTACATTTTACAAAAAACAATCGTTTACATGTATTGTTTCTAATTTTATCTTTAAAATGTAATCTTTATACAATATTAAAACTCACAGTTGCCATGTCAAAAAATTCTTCAACCTTATTTTTATCTTAGTTTGGGTATCTCTAATATCAAAGTTGCATCCACAATAGTGATTGTTGATCCACACAGTGTCTGTGACTGCTCGGTGTGTTTAATAATGTACATTCATCGTGTTGTGTGGGTCGGTTCTTCTCTTTACTGAAAGTATCCCAAAAGCTCAATCAGTACACCTAAAACATCTACAAACACCAACACTTTAAGTTAACCTTAGTATCATCTATGCTCATAGTTTTGGTTTTATCTGCTATAATTTTGAGATATCCAGACATCCCAGTATGACTGAAGTGAACAAAATTTCATCAGAGAAAAATTACAACTGAATGCATTTCCGTGGTTTTAGTCAAGCAAGTTTATTAAAAAAAAACAAAAAAAACACAGATTGGAAAATAAAATGTCAGTGTCCTTGATACAAATCAGTTTTGATTACTCTCAGCATGTGTACTGTTTGTAAAAGCATACATTATTATTAGTATTACAATGACGTGCAGGTAATTCATAGTCATGCATCCATGTGTTAAGTTTAAATGATTTTAAGCACCAGGACTGGTCAGGAGCACGACCTTCAACAGTGGCCGCTGATCTTCAACATCTTCGCTACCCTGTTTGGACAGGAAAGAAGTTTAATGAACTTTAATAAAGCAAAAACAGGATAAAGTTGAGAATTCTACACGTGTCTCTTTACTGAATTTAACACTGCAAGTATAGCAAGCTACTACTTTTATCCTCACAGCAGTAACAATTCATGTTATTCCTAATGCTACTACTGTTGCTACTCCAACTGCTTTCACTGCTCGTACTACTAATACTTTGCTTCATGAACCAGTTGTCCTCTAATTCATGTGTACATTGGGCTCTTTTTGGTTCATACCTCTTCCTTTTTCGTTTCACTGGTCAAAGCCCTGATGCCCAGAATAGCAAACCTAATGCTGACACACAGCTGAAGAGCAGCCATTGCAATCAGTGTGGAGTCCATGGATGTTAACAATTTCTGATGGATGAGAAATGAAAAAACATTTTTAATTTAATTTAGTTACTTTAAACTAATATTTGAACAAAAACTTGCAATTCAGTGTAGATTCTTGTGTGTCAAAGTAGTTTCAAATCAAAAAGTTAGACAACTGACTCCACGCCATATACTGTCTGATAATAATTGTGTTTTCCAGTCCAGCTTTAGGAGTATGATCACCTGGGCTAAGAGCGCCAGATTTCTGCAGTTGTCAGCATGATCAGCATTGTTTCTGCTGCGGTCACAAATCCAGAGGAGAGAGGAACCTGTCAGGTCTATGGCATACAGCACAATGCCAGTAATGGCGAAGATAGCTCCAACAATGTTCATAAACACAGTGAAGCCCACCTGAGAGGAAAGATCCCATCAGTTAAAAGTCCTAAGATAGAAGACATGTTATCATATTTACAGTACAATGCAATTTCCTTTAGTTAGTCAGTGCAGTTTGTTGTACTCTACTTACCAAGCAGGATGAAGGGAACTGTCCAGCCAGAATTGACATGATTCCAGTTACAATAAACTGATGAGAGGTCAGCAGAGAGTTCATATTAGTGACAATAATGCAGAAACTGTTGTATTTGTTTATCATATTATCAGGAATTATGTTTGCTCTCTTGTGTCCCTCAACAATATGATCCTCTCACAAAAATTTGAATCTGTGTGGACCTCGCTGCATGTGTAAAAGTTTTGGCAGCACAACTGTAACATAACACAGCTATTAAACAAGAGCTATTACAATTACAATATTACAGCATATATGCTCTCATGGTAAATACAACAATTTTATTTTACCACAGCACCCAGCCAGTAAGCAGCTCCCAAGCTGGTCAAATCCCCAGGATATGTGCTTGTTCGTCCTGGCCCAAGTCCAATGTTGAACAGGCCCACCATGATCTGTATAGTCTGTAAAAGATTCAAAACAATCAAATCTCATCGTCTATACTGAACATTGTAAGACCACAAGTTAATATCTGTATGTGAGTACATTTATTTAAACTCCTCTTACCCCAATAGCAGTAGTGGCGCTAGTCTGCATGGGACCTTGGAACAACAAGAAGCATGGACTGTGGCAAAGCGCCTTCAGGATTAGGCACAGTGGTAGAAACATGCTCTTACGGTCAGCTGCCACAGAGATGACGGTCACTCCCTTTTCTTGGATGACAGGTTTGGGCATCTTCACACACCTGAAACATAAAATGGGATATTTTTCTTCTGGTTCAGCAGTGTGTCTCCTCTCCTCTTGACCAAGGCTGTCTTCTTGAATGATACTTTTGACTTGAGGTTGAAGCTCTTAAGTTGCTCATTTTATTTTTTTGTTTGAGAGAGAGCGAGAGAGAGGGTTAGTGTTTGTAGGACAATGGGTCAGTGTATGAATGTGTTAAAGCCTCAGCAGCTGGCAAAGTAAATAGTCACTGGTATCGACCAACAACCCTATCAAATACAAATATGCAGATGTATTACGGTTGTGGTTGTGCTATAAGGCAGAAAGATTATGCCTATTGTCCCTTGCTTGAAGTTCTTTATTCAGTAACTCTCAAATATGCTGCAGAGCTTAGCTGCCAAAATAAAAGCATTGTTTGTTTCAGTTTTATACCTGCCTTTTCTCTGGGGGGCTGCCTCAGTTACATTAAATAGTATTTATTTTAAGTATTTTTCACATAGTCATATGGTGTACTTTAATGACATTAAAATTAAGTGCAATATGAATCTACTAAGCCTTTTGTAAAGATATACAAAAAAATGTTGTGTAGTTTTTGTAATGGTCACTATCTCAGAAAATTCTGAAAGTTTCATCGTTGCTTACTAGTATTTTTAATCTAAAACATTTTCCCACTCCCCTCTCTTACACAGACAACACAAAAAACAATACATTATTTATTTTTAGTAAACTTTACCATTAGAAAATATCCACAACACCCACTTTTGAGCTCACTCAACATGTTGTCTCCTTATAAAGTTCACACTAGAACAGATGAGAACTCACCTGTTATTGATTCGATGCTGCAATTGCTAGTGTGCTTCCTCTGCCAGCAGCCTCAGTTCCTTTCGCAAAAGCTAAAATTTTACTTCCTGTAAGACCGTTTTGTGTCAGAATAAAAGCCCACAAAAAGCAAGTAATCAGTGGTGTGGGGAGCAGGTGTCAGACAATATTGTTGGAGAAGCATTAAAGGTAATACAGAGCAGTGGAATAGTTATAATCTATATTGTTATATTTAGGGATGCACGGTATGGATTTATTTCAGAAGATACGATAACCGATAATTACCTGCTTCTCACGGCCAATACCAATAAGATAACCAATAATTTCATATTTTAAGTTCATAACATGTAGTTTCTGAGATGAAGTGAGCAAAGATGGATGATTTATTATTCCATATCCCTGTCCAAACCAAATCTAACTGACGTCACTATTGTTAACACAACACCAGCAACAACAACACACAAAAAACTGTTGTGATTCTTCAAACGTTCATTTTTTTGTTTTTAAAGTTCATTAGAAAAACTTCACAAACTTAATTTGGCCTTCATAGAACACAAAGGCTAGCACACGAAAATACATTATTATTATTATTAGAATGGACCTATAATTTAATCATAATAATTCATAATAATATATCATATGCATTATCAGCTGATCATTTATCTGCCCCAATAATTATTATTATCCAATAGCATTACATAGCAGAGGCCAGTCAGACATCACTGCATACACTTCAACATCATCTTCAACATATTTGGCTGCAGTCATAGACACTGTGACATTTGGTCCTTGTAAAGATCAAATTTGCTAACACAGCAGCTATTCTATTTGTATTCATTCACTCACCAATCAGCATGTTAACCCCAATCATGTGCAGAGAAGGAACATCAGCCCAGGCGGAGTCATTAAAGGTTTTTCATTTTGGATTCACTGTTTATTATTAAGCAGACTTTCAGAATTAAAGTCAGAAGTACATTACATTTACATGAACAGGCTGATGTGCAATTTACCAAAGAGCAAACAGGAAATTCCCAGCCAGAATACATATGACACCAGACACAAAAACCTGAGGTTGATGATGACAATAACAAGTGCCGGTGAGTGCTCAGCCAGAGAAATATGAACAGTAGGTGGAGTAGGACCCACAATGCAAAGTGTTATGTAGCCATGACAACTGCTCGGAAGGTCAGATTCTTCTTCATCAGTCGTAAAAAAAAAAAAAAAAAAGATCAACACTGCACTTATGAGGCAGATCAGAAAGTCATTTTGAAATGTTAAGTTTGAGTTCATATTTTTAATCAACCCCTTCCACATTTCCATTAGTAATTGAAAATGTAGTGAAGGTCATTCAAAACTGTACTTCAGCACTTGAATAAGTGTACTTAGTTATTTCCACCACTGGTTAAGACTTATTATTGCCATTAAAGTGACTCAGGACTAACAGCACATATTAATTCTATTTCAGGTATGTAACAGGATGATACTCAGCATCAGCAATTTAGTGCAGAACAAATACATTATTATTAATAAGTGCAAATGTTTCTTTAAGCAACCCCTGTAGGAAAAGACCAGAAGATTGCACCGGATAATTTGTGTAAATAACTGCATACAGTCAAGTGTGAATGCACATGATTACAGCAGTGTATTATATTAAAGCAGAGATTTTCATTTAGACTGCAGGGTTACTGGTGACTTCCTCCAGCAGTGCTTTGTAGTTTTCTGGGTCATCAGTGCTCTAAAAGAGAAAAATAATGCCAAGAATGAACGTAAAAAGGTGCAGATATATTAAAATCTGGAAGAATAGCACATACGCACATACACTTATGAAGTGAACTGTTTCCTGGAGGAATACATCCATGTTTTCCTCTATTTGATTTAAGCTCATTCTAAATTTCAGGATCCCCCAAAAAAGTAACGAAATCATCAACCGGCACTTTCCAAAATGTCTAACTATTTTAATCCTATCTCTAATTGATCTGCACTGTAACTGGCATAAACCAGCATTGACTTCCTGTTCTGACTGACGTGGAAATAAGGAGATAATTTAAAGTTAGAAGTGAGATTACCATAGGTTCATTACATAAACATTCAAACAAGAAGCAGCATGAAATTAAAAATAGAGTGTTTGTATTCAGTCTACCTTTCCTGGGTTGACTGAATGATTCTGCAGACTCTACCTTGTTTTCTTTCTTCTCACTGCTCCTCAGAGCCTTGATCCCCAAGACAACAGAGCTGAAGGTGACACAGAGCTCCAGGACCGACAGAACAATCAGCACAGCATTGATGCTCCTCAGAAGCATCTGGTGGGTCACAAAAAAGTGTTTACTTTAAAATCTTCAAACGCATTTGTTTGTTTCATTAGATTTATTTAAAATAATATATTTTGTTCTTACGTAACCCATTTCCTTCAAATTAACCTTGTTTCTAATTGGCTAATTTTGAGAGGTTCTTCATAATCAATGGATGGTAAATTTTGAGACAGTATCTGTAAAATACTTAAAGCCCGCCATCTTCCACTAATCAGTTACACCACTTATATGTTGACTGCTGAGATGATATTTTCCACACTTACCAGAGTCAGTGCTTCGCCCTCCAAGCATTTCTCCTTTATGAGGTCATCACGAAGATCTGGAGCTTGCGTATAGGATCCGTAATAACGATTATAACACGACAACCGTATGTGTATGTGTGCTATATTGATGCTGTAGCGTACGATGGCTGTGATGGCAAAACCAACTCCGGCTAGATTCAGAATCACATTGAGGATTACCTAAAATACAAGACATGTCAGTTTGTGTACAACCAAACACAAAATCACACCAGGCAATAAACAGCATAAAGTACATTCTTTATGGCAAAACACTGAACCTATTTTCTATCCTCTTCAATGAAAATACGTGTTATATACATGTCAGACAGTGTGTGTGTGTGTGTGTGTGTGTGTGTGTGTATATTGTTGAACTAAACTAAAACAAGAATAACAAATGACAATGCCATGAAATATAACATGAGGATGTTGTAAAGCTGAACTCACCAGACATGGACTGGGATACTTCTCAGACAAAATGCTCATGACACCAAATAACATGAACTAGAGAAAAGACAAAAATCATCAAGACACTTTACTGGTTCACCCAAATTATTCACAATATTTTCACATTCTCATTTCAATTTTCACTTGCATTTACAAGTGAAATATTTGCAGATAAGAAAGGATGCAATCTTGATGTGCTTTATTTTAGCTGATACCAATTAATTAAAATTAGCTTGGATTAGACCTGATACCAGTCCTTTGGATGTTCTTGGGAACTCTCTAGACACTTAAAAGTGAACTCATTGAGTATCTAGACAGTCTCTTATGAGAATAACTGTGTGACAGATTTACAGTCCCAATAAAGATGTATTTGCAAGGAAAAAGAACATTAAAATAACAAATATATCATTAGCTTGCTTACCAGTCCTCCTAACCAATAAGGATAGCTACGGTCCGTTCTCCACCACAAACCACCATCACTGGTACTGAGTATCACTCCAAGGCCGATGTTGAGCAATCCAACCATAATATGAAGAGCCTGTGGAGGAGGAAACACAGTATAAACAACAAATACATGTACAGTATAAATGCAGGTGACAGTTACAGTGAAGTTAACTGTGGTACAGAAAATTATATAGGACCACTATATAGTTTCATGGTGATTTCTAACTGTAACTTTCCTAAACATGAACATTACCTGAAGGCAGGTACAGAGCAGTGACCTCTCCTAGAGTGTCACAGAGCAACTTCAAACGTATGGTCGTAACTCACCCCCAGCACTGACTGAGACATTCTCTGGATCTTCCTCAAGTGCTGAGACACAGAGCAGCACACGGGGCTGTAGCAAAGGCCCTTCAGGATTTGGCACAGTGGAGGACAAGTGCTTCGGGGGTCAGAGGTCAAAGTGAGCACAGTGGTCCCATCATTCTTGGCAATGGTCACAGACATCCTGCCTGCTCTTTTGGACTGAAAAAGATAAGAGAGTATATCAACTTTAAATATGCTTTATCATGTTACTGTTGCTGTTTTTTTAAACCTTAAACTACCATAAACTAACCTTTGCACTCCATAAATTATGCACACAAAGACCAGTTTAGCCAGCATGAGGAGTGCTGCACTGCCTGTGGAAAAAGGTATACAATGTCTGGTGGCTCTGCGGGAGCTTCCGAAGCTCATCAGGGTTATCAGAGGCGACAGATGATATATAAGACAATAAAGAACTTGAATTTGAATTCAGGTGCAGGGCTGCTCCAAACGCTTCAGAGCACTCAGTGAGGAAGTTATGCGCCATCTTGGATTTGAACAAAAATCACCCACATTTCATCGGAATAAGTATTGTTTTTTGTTTGTTTTAGAGCTGCCTGACCCACTTTTTTTCTCCTGATAAGTTGCCAGGAAGTTCACCTATCCTCCAGTGAAGTTAAACTTGAAACATTGTGAAAGCCTCAGGGTTGGCCTTATCTTGTTCTTCCTTGTTGGCCGTGTTTATTCCCTGTGTTACAGGAAGTTGGAGCTGAGACACACACCTGTAAGCTGGGCTCTGGCAGACCCACATTGCATTGTTTAATAAAAAAAACATTTATGCATAATTTACAGACTATATATGGTCTCCTCCTTTTGTCACATACTTTCAAACCAGGTTCTGAGCACTAAATGGCTTAAATGGATGCGTTCACTTAAATGTAGGTAGCAGGGAAGGACCATGTATAATAGGAATTGGCTAGAGTTTAATTAAGCATCAATAGGTTACCAGTATAATATGAATAAAGCAGACTTACCTCTTTGTGTCTGTTAGAGTAGAAGCAAAAGCTTGACAAATGTACTCCACTCAACAAAACCTGGCTGGCTGACTGTATGTTTATTGCACAGTTGTTTGGCGTAGGAGAACAGGAACTAGTGTCCACTTATTCCCAGAAGTACCTCCCCTCTATTGGGAAGCAATAAAGAAACTTAACCCTTGCATTCAGTTAAAGAAAAAGATCTGTGAATATTCTGCTTTGATTTTTATTTATATGCTATGCTTACACCCTAAATCAAAGAAATGTGTCATGGGCGTGTAGGTTCATGGCCAGAGATTTGGAGGTCCACAAAATATTCAATATATTTACAAGTATTATTTTTATATTCAATATTTGATACAAGAAAACAAACCTCTCCAAACTCAACCATTTACATATACATAGGCACATATATGTAATAGATATGTTATAAGAAAGAAAGACAACCAGAGGGGTGGGGCACACCCGACAAATAGGTCCTTATTTGCAGATATTTGTAACTTTCATTAGGGGAACCCGTCATAAGCGCCAGACAAACCAACCCCTGTCCAACCCCTATAATGCCTATTGGCAGTGGTGTAACTACTACATGTATATGATGGCACAAGCCCCTTCTGCTGCTACGACTACTGCTAAGCCTGACATATTACCCACTATATATTCCTTATCCCTACAACCCTCCAGCAGGACAACCGATGCCAGGACTCCCTGAAAATTCCCAAGTTTACTACTACACACGTCCGAGCAGTACCTGAGCAGAGGACGCAGAGTGCAATCAGTCAATTCATGAAATCCCCAGAACTGTACAGTTGTTCCAAGGGCTAGGCTACCTCATCTTTCCTGAAAAGAGCTGGACTCAAGGTTAAAATTACATACATTTTATATACATGCCTCTATACAGTATAAGACAACTTAGTTGTTACTTTTTTGTTGTTGTTTCTCCACACTTCCCTCACTCTAGAACAGGTTGATCTTTATTTCAGTGCCTACATCCAGGAGAGCTTTTCTGATCAGTTTCACACAAAAAAAGTCATTTATTTTATTTTGACAAACGTTCTTCCCATGTCTATGAACTGATGTTTTGATCCTGTATTTCCTTTACATTCATGTTCAGAGTAATTTTAAACTGATGCATAAAAAGACTAATTGGTGTTTAAAATTTCACCAGAATGCAGGAAATTAAGTGTCACAGTTTGAGTGACACTCAAAATCTCATGGGGGAAGACCCCCCACTTAATTCGTGTCCCCCATGGAATGAGGCCGCTGCTAAAGTGTCCCATATTTTTCCACGTTGAAGGTGGAAACCTTATCTCACTAAAATTATTTATAGAGGCAGTTTCCAGGACATCCAAACATACTGACTCTAAGGCACATTACCCGATAGAAAATCATAGTAAACCAGAACAATTTTATAAAAACATGAACAAAGAATGAAATGGCCAGCAGCATATATAATATAGTTCAGAATATTACCAAGTACAAATTTTTTAAAGTAAAAGTTGATGGAAAAGACCAAACGTTTAGCAGAGACTATACCGTATAATGCATTATGTGTTATAGTTGTAGTATAGACAAAAGAGTCAATGGTGTAAATGCACATGATTAGAGAAACATATTACAGTGAAGCTTTTTCATTTTCATTTAAGCTGTAGGGTTACTGGTAACTTCCTCCAGTAGTGGTTTGTAGATCTCTGGGTCATCAGTACTCTAGAAGAAAGAAATAATATCAGAGAAGCGCAGAAAGGTGCAGATATATTCAAATCTTGAAGACTGGCACATCATTTGTCTATGCAAAGATTTTTCAAAGGAATAGTTCAACATTTTGGAGAGCACAGGATGAGAACAGGAATTCCACTCTTGTGCTTGCACAGTAAATGTAAAGCTGCAGCCAACTGGTGATTAGCTTAGCATAAAGACTTAAAACAGGGAGTAACAGCTAGTGAATGAATGATTCTGCAGACTCTACCTTGTTTTCTTTCTTCTCACTGCTCCTCAGAGCCTTGATCCCCAACACAGCAGAGCTGATGGTGACACAGAGCTCCAGGACTGACAGGACAATCAGCACAGCATTGATGCTCCTCAGAAGCATCTGGTGGGTCACAAAAAGTGTTAACTTTAAAATCTTCAAACGCATTTGTTTGTTTCATTGTTAACTTTAAACATGTGTTCGTTTTATGGAGCGAAGCCTGCGAGCTTGTTCTGGCAGTCAACTCGAGCTGCGCTGTCATACACATATGACATGCCTCACACTCCATAATCACTAACCAAGTGCATCCTTTCAAACTGGCGGTCTCATGAAGCTGCAACATTTCCCAGCTCTCCATCTGCTCTGTCAATGCTGCTGTTGCCCTGCATCCATATTGCTGCCTGCTGTGCTGTAAGCCCCACCACCATCCCAGCATCCACCTGTAGGCTCTGGCTAGGGGTTTAGGTATTTGCTCATCACTCCCCAATATCTCTATGTAAACATATCTGCGAGGAGTGATGAGGTCGGAGCCTAGACGGCAAATTCTAAATATGCTATACTGCTGTAATAAATATTTCAAATGTGAGTTGTCTGACTGAAACTTATTTATATGTATTATGGTAGGATTTGTTCTTACTTGACCTATTTCCTTCAAATTTCCTTTAAACCTTTTTTGTGAATTTCTACTTGACTTTTATTTTGGACTGTAACAAATTACACACTAACATTTTGTTAGCTTGGATGCATTTCTGATGTATGACGTTGTATCCATGCAGCAGCTCATACTGGTTTATAACTGGTGTATAATGCCTGTTCCAAAAAGAAAAAACTAATAATCACCATCCAGTAAATTGTCTTTGTGTCTATAGTCTATTGGGATTGATTATTACCAACACTGTGGCCCCCACAAGGGAGCACCAAATCTCCAGCTGCATTTACTCTTGATACAAACTGCTCTGTAGATAACTACTGAGGATGGTACATTTTTCAGACAATATCTGTAAAATGCTTAAAGACCTCAATCTTCCACTCATCAGTTATACAACTCTATTTTGACTAATGATAAGACATTTTCTACACTTACCAGAATCAGTGCTGTGGCCTCCAGGCATTTCTCTTTCATGAGGTCCTCACGAGGAGATGGAGTTCGGACATCATACTCTCTATCATAGTCTTCACACATCCACCACATCCATATGTTTCCTATGCTGATGCTGTAGAGTATGATGGCTGCGATGGCAAAACCAACTCCGACTAGATTCAGAATCACATTGAGGATGACCTACAATACAAGACTTGTCAGTTAATCAAACACAAAATCCTACCAGGCAATAAACAGCATAAAGTACTCATGGAATTTATCTCACTCTTTTACACTGATCAATCTATATTCCTGCAGTGGAAGCAGCTGGGTGGCTGGTATTCATTTTAAGACACCTCTTACTTACTGCCCAAGTGCTTTATAGCAAAACACTGAACATTTATCTGCCCTTGTCACTGAAAGTACATATTATATACTTGTCAGACAGTGTGGGTGTGTATATTGTTAAGAGATATGTGACGTTAGGCCTCTTCAGCCTGCTGCCGTCAGGGAGGAGACTGCGGAGTCTCCGGCCAAAAACCAGCAGGCTCAAAGACAGTTTCTTCCACCAGGCAGTCAGGAGATTCAACTCCCTCCCTACTCTACCGTCACTCCAACCTGTACCCACCCTCCCCCCTCTTACTTGTCTTTTCTATTTAGAGAAAACATTTTTTTTATTGCCTGTCTGCACCGTGGGTCCGAGAGGACGGAAATTTCATCTGTGCTGTATGTTGTGCATATAGCATATTTGACAAGAAAGCTGACTTGACTTGACTTGACAAATACAAAACTGCCCTGCATTTTATTTGTCTTGAAATAAAACCAGAAATACAAATGACAATGCCATGAAATATAACATGAGGATGTTGTAAAGCTGAACTCACCAGACATGGACTGGGATACTTCTCAGACAAAATGCTCATGACACCAAATAACATGAACTAGAGAAAAGACAAAAAAAACTAAATCATCAAGAGAGTTAGTGAATTCAGACTCATACTGGCTCACCCAAATTATTCACAATATTTTCACATTCTCATTTCAGTTTTCACTTGCATGTACAAGTGAAACATTTGCAGATAAGAAAGTTCAGATAAGAAAGGATGCAATCTTGATGTGCTTTATTTTAGCCGATACCAATTAATTAAAATTAGCTTGGATCAGACCTGATACCAGTCCTTTGGATGTTCTTGGGAACTCTCTGGACACTTAAAAGAGAACTCATTGAGTATCTGAACAGTCTCTTATGAGAATAACTGTGTGACAGATTTACAGTCCCAATAAAGATGTATTTGTCTTCACTTGAGCTTTGGGATAGCATTGGGAGTTAACAGATGTACATTTTGCAAGGAAAAAGAACATTAAAAAGACAAATATATCAATAGCTTGCTTACCAGTCCTCCTGACCAATAAGGAAAGCAACATTCACGTATCCACCACAAGCCACCATCACTGGTAATGAGGATCACTCCAAGGCCGATGTTGAGCAATCCAACCATAATATGAAGAGCCTGTGGAGGAGGAAACACAGTATAAACAACAAATACATGTACAGTATAAATGCAGGTGACAGTTACAGTGAAGTTAACTGTGGTACAGAAAATACCATTATATATAGGACCACTATATATTTTCATGGTGTTTTTCTAACTGTAACTTTCCTAAACATGAACATCATCTGAAGGCAGGTACAGAGCAGTGACCTCTCCTAGAGTCTCACAGAGCAACTTCAAACGTATGGTCGTAACTCACCCCCAGCACTGACTGAGAAGTTCTCTGGATCCTCCTCAAGTGCTGAGACACAGAGCAGCACACAGGGCTGTAGCAAAGGCCCTTCAGGATTTGGCACAGTGGAGGACAAGTGCTTTGGGGGTCAGAGGTCAAAGTGAACACAGTGACCCCATCAGCCTTGGTCATGGTCATAGACATCTTGCCTGCTCTTGTGGACAGAAAGAGACAAAGAGTATATCAACTTTAAATCTACTTAATCAGGTCATGGTTGCGGTTTCTTTAAAGCAGCTTTAAGAATCTTTCTTGCTGTGTTTATTATGGCAGCCCCTGTGGACAAAAGTGGTTGTGTTTCCCAATCTCCCTGATTAAGTAACATATTTAATGGATATTTCGTATTATATTACGATAAAGGCATAACAATAACAAACCTAAAAAAAAAAAAAAATAAAAATAAATAAACTGGTTGGACATTAAAAGTGCAGGATGCAAATCATGATCATGGTGTGAAGCCTGTGCTCACAGTTTTCCTCCTGTTACTGTAAATAAAAAGATGTAACTGACAAGGTCTGCAAGCACTATAATGTTTATTTAATAATGAAGCTCAATGTTACCTAACTTTTCAGTCTCTCTGTCAACAAACAACCGACCTCCAGCTGAGAATAAACAGGAACAGCCTGTATCTCAACCTCAGGTGTAAGTACGCCATGGACCAGTGTGGAAAAAGAAGCAATTTGAGACATTTATACGGAAGAATAAGACTTGTTCTCGACCTACCAGGAGGAAAATGTGAAGTAGCAGAAACACGTCGGACTGTAGGAGATTTCTTTAAAGCCAATGCGACATGAAACTCCACGATAATAACGCCCTACGTCTGCTTTTCTCAGGGACTAGGGTGCAGCTCACTCTGCAGCTTTGTGCTCGCTGCTGCCACCGGTGGTCGAAAGCTGTCACTGCAGTATCTGTCACTGACTGTATAAGTTATTCTTGACATTGAAAGCAGCTCGACAGAGTAAAAAACAAAAAAGGAGCTAATAGCATTTGTTGCACAATATTGAAAAAAATTATGTGCGATCTTTTTCATATGGGTTGTATTGAATTTAAAAGAAATGCCCCCACATTTCTTTTCAGTAAATCCTGTTGTTTTTGCTCCTCTTACTGTTGTAAAACCTTTAGGTAAAGCCTAAACGCTGTCTGAAACCCACTTTTAAATTTGTGTTTGTTTGTTTCTATTTGTCAAAATGCTAAAAGGGGAGAATGTACTCTTTTTCCACATTTAGGTCATATTGGACCAGGTCCAGGTCAAAAACCAAGCAAGATATGTCAAATCTGGACTAGATTACCCCCGAGAGACCAGAGATTCTTTAAAACACAGTTTCATATCTGTGAAACCTTTATTCAAACATAGTGCAAATAAATAGCAATGTCACCAATTTACAGTGTTGACACCACATGGCCTTTTTTTGGATTCAAGTCCACGTCCCTCCATTTTATTTCCTGATTGCCATAGACATCTCTTCTTTCTCACTTCAAAACAACAGTAGAAAAGTTATTTTTACTTTTTGAAAAAACCTTGAAAACCTTGGCCAGTTGTTTAATTTACTCTTTCAATTCTTCTTTCAAAAAGAAATAACTGTTGCTGTTAATATTGTTCAGCTTCTCTCTCTGCTTCTGCCGTGTTTTGTTCCTCACTTCACAAATCCTGAACTGTGCCTCTGTTATCATCTTTCAGCCATTAGTGTGCTTGTTCTTCATTTTATCTAAATACTGTATGAAGACATTTCTCATGAAAAGATTCATGTCTATATGTCTTTGTCACAGTTATCAACATTTTATTGAAAAATCCTTTATTTTCATCTCGTTTTTCTATCCACCAACATCTGCCATCATTTCAGACCCGTTTCCTGCCCACCAGTTGTGGTGACCTGGTCCAATGTGGTCTCGATGTGGGAAAAAAACAGGACCGTATACATAATAAGGACTGAATCGAAAATAGAATAAAGACTTACCGTATGTGTATGTTAAAGTAGAATCAAAACCTGGGTTAAATATAATATTACAATATTATACTGGGTTAAATCTGTCTGTCTGTACGTTCTTTGTACAAACAACACTTTGTTCCTCTCTCTGCCTTGTTCCCAGAAGTACCCACCCACCCCAAATATGGAAGCTTTAAACAAACTTAACCCTTTGCTGATCATGCAACTAAGAACAAAGATACTTGTGAATACTTTGCTTTGTTTTTATTAATTTATGTTATTCTTACAGCCTAAAACAAAGAAAAGGTAGCAGTGACATGGCCGTAGCAAGTCCAAAACTTGATATTTATTTTTTAAATGTATGTATTTCTATCATATCTATGATATCTATTCACCAAATTATCTAAAGCTACACATCTGGATGAGGTCTTGAATGCTTCCAAAACTTATGATAGTGACAGTAATCTGATTACCACTCTCTAATAAGGAATACTTCACAAAGGGTTTATAAGTTTAGTAAAATGGCTTTATTAATAGTCAATAAGACATTCTTTATGTAATTTACTAATTGATAATTCTGATTTATTTCAACCTGGGTCTTAATTTCCTGGCTTTTCTAATCTATTTCTATTGGCTGTATCAATACAAGTTCATTTCTGAGATCTGGGAACGGAAGAACAAAAACACTTTATTTGGCACTAAAACCAAAAGTGAGCAGACCTGAAATGTCAATAACAACTCCTAATTCTACAATTAAGGTAGAGCAGGTCAAAGTGAACTGTGATGGATCATTTGCACGGTGTTTTATCTTTTATCAAGTCAACATTTAACTATTGCAGTGATTTGGCAACCTCAGCATAACAAACATAGCATACATAACTGAACCATAACATAATCACATAACGTTTGTGACTATATATAACAAAAATGATCTTGCTTACCAAAGCACCAAACCAAAGAGAATATTGGTACTTCGACAACAGCCAAGAGCTGCCATTGTTATTAATTAATATGTTCCCGAGGTAGAAGTTGATAACCCCAACCATAATCTGTGTAGCCTGTGAATCCAAAAACATAATTTAAACAAACAGCAAACACTTAAAAAAAACAGTTAATGGGTGTCACAGCCGACTAACTGAAGACATTTTCATGCACCACATGAAACCTTTACTCATAGTCATAGATAGTCATGCACTGACTCCCAGTGCTGACTGAGAGGTACCCTGGACCCTCCTCAGGTCCTGAGACACAGAGCAGCACAGTGGGTTGTTGCAAAGGTCCTTGAAGAGAGGAGGCCAAACGCTTTCGGGGTCAGAGGTCACACTGACCATAGTGAGCCCATCAACCTTGGTCATGGTCACTGACATCCTGCCAACTTGTGCAGGCTGAAAACAGAATAAGAATACAATGACTAAAAATTCACGTTGCCATCACTAAAGTCATGCTGCCAGTGGGCCAGTTTACTGAATTTAATGTATTAACTTTTGATAATGAAGGTACAGTTTTCTAATTAAATTCATATTTTTTTGACTTGAGTAACATTACAATACATGTCTTCACTTGTACAAAAGTCATACATGTTTTGTTACTTTTACGGAAGTGAAAGATCTTAATACTTTCAGCTGACTTTTACTGATAAGATCTTGCATATCAGCTTTTTTTATCTGGTAAATACGTTTCTGAAATTGACAAATATTAAAAAATGCCTCTCATCTAGATAACCAAATGTTATCATTAACAGCTGAAACTTTCGGTAAGTTGATAAGACTAGAAGATAAAAATGAGCACAATACCTATTTGTTTCTGCAAGCAGCTGTTTTACCTTATCCACCTGGCAAAAATATCCTATTATTTAGGTTTCAAAATACCTGTATCATGTCATAAATATAAACAAAATAAAAGATTATAAATGCTGAACGTAAGACTGCAGTTTAAAATGGCATTATGGACTCATCGTACACAGTACAAGTTTTCCCTGTGTGGTGTATATCCGTGGCTGCCAGAAGTTGGTCTGTGGATGACTGAAAAAGGAAAGGTCCGCCACTCTTCTTGCTTTGATTAAGGATTGTATTAAACAAAAACAAGTGAGTGTGTCAGATGCATCTTCTGGCCGAATTCCTCTCTTTCCTCCAGTCCGGCACTTATATAGTCGGATGTAAACATTCTGTAGGTTATAAAACTAAAGAGATTTCCCTCTTTACTTGCTCTGCTCCCAGCTGTCACTATATCTCCCTACATACGAAAACAGACATGAACATAAAGCAGATGATTCTTACATTCCAGCATTTCCTAATATGGAGTTTCCCTGTACAACAAATGAGTGTGAAGCACTGGATACCATCAAGGGAACAGATGAGTTCTTCACACAGACAGAGAGAGAAGTTCAATGTATGTATTATCAGGAGAAAATATACCTCACTCTGCAAGGTGTGAATTTAGGCCACGAAAAGCATTTCCTGCTCCGTCTCTCTGTTTCTCTTGCTAAAATGTAAAATGACTAAGCCCCAAGACTTACGGTAGCTCTAGACCCACTGCTAATGCCTTGGAGAATATAGCCTGAGATATTTAATGTCATAATAAATGAAGCAAAATGACGAAATTAGCTTTGGAAAAATTAACACGTTTACTAATTTACCTTTTTAAGATATACTTTTATTAATCCCCCATAGGAGAAAATTCTTATTTGCTCTACTAACAAACTCTTTGAAGGATCTACATCTGACAGACCAGTTTCAGAAGTTGAAATCCTCTTTAAATCGTGCTTGAAACATCCTAAACAGCTAAATAAGCATTTGGAGAAAAAAACTGCCCATGATCCCTGACGTGAAATCTTTTTACCAATACAAACACACTTTTTCAACTCAACTTAAAACATTTTTATACTATAAAATAAAAAATATATGAATAATATTAGAACTTAAATGCTTTTACCTGTTTCTGATGGTTTGGCTGCACAGGTTGAGCTTCACCTAAAACTGTTATGGAATATATTGTACAGTTCGTAATATTTAGAAGAGGAGGAGTTACAATTGCCAGTGTAGTACTTCCCCTCATCCTGAAGCAGAAGCTTAACCCTTACCTGAAAAAGTCTTGTTTGATTTTTATTTAAATTCTTACATTTTAAGAACAAGTAAATGTAAAGGACAATCTTCTCTGTTGAGGGGGCTGTGAAATGTTTCAAACGCTGGTTTCTGACGTATTTTTGATTACAAACATGCAAGATTAAACATATCAGTAAACATAAGATATAGGTTTTAGTGGTAGATGGCTCAGCTGTTAAAGTGATGGTGCTGTATTGTTTCTGCTTATTTCCATCACATATCTACTTATTTAAGGGAACAGATTGTAAGGTTTTATTTTTGTTGTTTAAAAGACAACAACTGCAGTTACAGTGATTAATATTTTCTCTTTGTTGAAAGACCTAGCTGATCAACTTTAAAATAACTTCCGATAATTTATTGAAACATTCATCAGATGTCGAGTAAGCTTCTGTAATAAGATTGATATCTTTAAAGTTATTATGATACCATAACTGATATGTTTTTATTATATTTACACAGTAGTATAACGTAACTATATACATGTATCTAACACTGTACTTGAGTACAGTATTGAGATACTTGGATACTTTGCTTGTATTTGCATTTTATGCTTCTTTATACATCAACTTCACTACCTTTCAGAGGGAATATATTTATAGATTTAAGTAGAGTTACTACTTTTCAGATTAACTTTTTACATAGATTAGTTTGATATGATCACTTTTATTTCTGGATAAAACTATCCAACAGTATATAAGGCAGTTAAAATAAGCTTAACCTCAACTAGCAATATGCAATATACTCTACACTTTAACTACACTGTGCCAGTTATACTTCTGTACTTTACTTTACTTTTGAATGTGGTACTTTTACTTGTAATTGATTTTAGTAATTAGATTTATTTGACATGTAAAAATATATATACCAGGTCAAGGATAACACAAAAAACTACAAAGCAAGGTTTATATCATCACACTTACTGAACATACATGTGCTACTTAAACACATTCTCACCTATTACCTCCATAAATATAAACAACTACACATACGCCCTCCAGCCACAGTTCAACACATCCAACACAAGGTCCGCTCCCATCTTTGAGTGTGGCCACTTCTTTAGGCACACTGTCCCCTGAACGCACCTCTAGCATACTGTGTATACAGTCTCTGGTATGCGTATACGTATACCTACATTCATACACATACCTACATTTCTATGTCTTTCTCTCTTTTTGGTCAGATAACTATTTTCCACCTTTAAATCTATAACATTAAGGACTGAATTGATTTTATCTCTACTGGAACTCTATTCCACTCTATTGTTGCCATGTACAGAAAGGTATTTTGCCCATTACATTTTTTAAATTCACACAGCACAATGTCTGTGGCCTTGTCTCTAATTAAATAATCAAGTAACTAGCTTTAGATTATATATATATATATATATATATATCTTGGGTCATGATGATTGGGTCATTACCTTGTAAAATCTTATGTATGTATGTGTAAGTCTTAATTTCAGCTGCTTTACCTTATTTTCTACCATCATCAACCATTTTATTTCCTTGAACTGGCACTGAGCAATATGAGACATGGCTCTAAGGTTGGATACCACCCATTGTTGTATTGCTACTTTTACCTAAGATAAAAGATCTGAGTGCTTATTCCAACACAGCAAGAAGCACATTAAAGCAGCATTTAACTTCATACAAAGTCACTGGGATGCAAGATCATTGAGCAACACACACTTCAGATCAATGAGGAGGCAATAAAGGGAAATTTATTTTTCTCATAATTATGGTCAGAACATTTTAGTGAAATTGCTTCCAAAATTACACAGTTCAGGATACAACTGACAGACAAAGAGAGTATCAGTTTTCAAATTACATTTTGGATTTCATGATATATCACAGTGTGTACAGTGATACGTGATGGGAAAGATATAGAAACAATTTCATAGTAGTTCCACCACATTACTGAGCCTTTACCACCAGTTTAAATTGGTAACCGTTTGAATGAGGTCAATGCCAGGGAAGTCCATGGCAATGATACCAAAGCATGGTCTGGGCTGATTAGGGTAAAACTGTCTCAAGTATTGATTGAGCCATGGGTTTACCTTTTCAGCTACTCTTTTTGGAGTCAGAAACATTCCCCAGAAAGTACCAAAGCCAGTGCCGCTAGAGTAAGTCAGAACAGCATTATCACCTCCACAAGCTTCGGTGGCTTGGTTCAGCTGTTTGATTATTTTGTTGTCCTTATTTTTAACGTCACTAACCTTTGTGCTACCTTTCTCGGTTGTTTCTATGAGGGGAATTCCTAGTGTGAAGGTGCTCTTCTGCAAAAACACAATTTTCCCCCTGACCTGACCCATATTTGGCATCCCAGAAGCCACCCAGACATGTTGGTCATTGCCAATCAGACTCTGCACCATCTCATTGACAGTTTTCTTCTCAAAAGACTCTGGTTCCACTCTAATGAGCACAGCCTCGGTCTTAAACTCGGACAGGAAGGCTCGGACGATGTCCAGGACCTCCTTGAGAGTGCTGTGCTGGTAAGCCACCCCATCCATGACATAGAGGGTGTTACCCAGGCCAAACACTTTGAGATCCAGGAAACGAATGCCGACCTTGAGCTGATCCATCAGAGACAAGGCCTGGTGTTCAGTCTCTGGACCTCCGTACAGGGCCATGCTGGCATGAGTGCCAGGGATGGTGATGAGAGAGAGGGTGCGGAAATCCTGAATGCCTGCCATCCATGGAATATTGTAGGACCCCGGGAGTATGAGGTTTCCATTGTCATTGAAGAACTGGTCTTTTCCATGGCACAGAAAACTGAGGATTTAGAACAATTCACACAATTTTTTGATGTTACAATGTGACAATGTTTCAACCTAAAAAAAAACATTTTACCTTTTATTATCTTTCATATTATACTTACGTGACAGACAGCAAAATATAGTGGAATAGCAGACACTTCTGAGCAGCCCCCATTCTTGCAGAGATATAATCTATAAGATCATTTGTAAAAAAAAAAAAAATATCCATTTATCACATCAAAATCACCCATTTTGAATAAAAGACATGCTTGAATAAATTGCTAATTAATTATCCAGGGTAAGAATACATGTGACGGGTTTTAATTAATAGATGAAAAATGAATCATTTTTTGGACTACTATACCTTACAGCCAGGAGGATTTCGCAGCAAACCACCCCAATGGTCAGTGTGGACAGCTCAACAGAAAATCCAGAACTTATATTGCTTGGTTATCTGCAAAATTCTAGGTGTGGACCACAAATATCAGTTGTATGATTCAGACTGATTGTTTCTTGAGGAAGGACAATGAAACATGTTTGTACAGATTGTGGTGTTTGCTTCCAGGGTGTTTGAGAAGGTGGGTCCCCTTACTGGAACAAAACCTTGGGTCAGATTAGATTTGATTTCTAACAGGCGTTATCGCGAATGCTAGCAGCCACACCAGTGCAACAAAAATATGATGACTAAACTGTGAAATAAGAAGCGAGAAATGTGTAACTTATCATCTTTACCAGATAATTATTGAACATTTGCCAACAATAACTAAACAAAAGCTTATTACCTAATGAAAACAAGGCAGAACTGATGAATACATGTGTTTAAAAAAGACAATGAGAAATATGTATAATGCCCAACGAGGTGTCCATTATCAGGAATTAATGGACGACATGGAGGCCAGGACTGTCCGACGAGTAGCTGAGCCGAAGGACCTCCCAAATACCTGGAATGAATGAGAAGAGTCAATCAGAATCAAATATTCAGCCAGACCATGGTATAAATTGAATTACACAATCAATTCTATGAGATTTCAAAGAACAAAAATACATGTAGGGCAAGACCAAGACAAGTAATGTATTTCATTTTCAGAATCAAGGTTATTATAGTTAGATAAAATAAGATTTTTCTTTATTGATTAACTAAAAGGATATTGTGTACTTACAAAAATAACTACATCATATAAAAATATACAAGAAAGCATGGGCCATTTATTTGTATATATTTATTGGGACTGGGATGTTTACATGTCAATGAATGTGCTTGTATTTTTATACCCATTTCCAACTTGCCCCTGACAAATACCCCCCATATTATTACAAGCAAACTCACTAGGTGAAACTAAACTGAACTGGGAACAAAAAGTAAAACTGGATTGCACTTGGAACCACCGTAAAACAGGAAAAAGAAGAAGTTGTAAAGATAGACTGCTGTAGCAAATATCATCAAGAAAGGAGGGAATTAATATCAGCATTTGATGAGGGACACAATATTACGTTGGAGAATCTACTTGGAAAGAAATCATGGAAAGTATATAATCTTATATACTTTATATAACAATGATTTAAAAATAACAGGAATAATATTTTAAAAAACATTTTTATTTAGTTTTTTTATTATTTTTTTTTATTTTTAATTCTATTCTTAAGGTTAGGGATTTTAATTTGTATTTTGCATGCTACTGGATACTTGAATTTCTTGAATAAATAAAGTATCCATCCATCTATCTACCTATCTATCTATCTATCTATCTGTCTGTCTGTCTGTCTGTCTGTCTGTCTGTCTGTCTGTCTGTCTGTCTGTCTATCTATCTATCTATCTATCTATCTATCTATCTATCTATCTATCTATCTAAGTCTGTCTGTCTGTCTGTCTATCTGTCTGTCTGTCTGTCTGTCTGTCTGTCTGTCTGTCTGTCTGTCTATCTATCTATCTATCTGTCTGTCTGTCTGTCTGACAATCTATCTGTCTGTCTAACTATCTATCTATCTATCTATCTATCTATCTATCTATCTATCTATCTATCTATCTATCTATCTGTCTGTCTATCTGTCTATCTATCTCTGTCTGTCTGTCTGTCTGTCTGTCTATCTATCTATCTATTGCGCCATACTCCAGCCCGTCCAGCAGGTGGCGGTAACGCGCCTACAAGCTGGATTGCCAACCGCCATTAAAACCCGAAGAAGAAGAAGAAGAAGAAGAAGAACAAGAAGTTGTAAAGATGGCGGAGAAAAGTAGCACAGACCAAACCGGCGATGACAGCGTAGATAAAAATGTTGCTCCCGGAGGATCTATGATCGTCGTCAACATCAAAACCCCCAATGGAAAAGAGGAAATTTCGATTTCGGAGGATTCTTCTGTCGCCCAGGTTCGTTAAAAGACATTAATTCCCCCCCCCAACCTCCACAACTGTAGAGGAAAGGTTAAAACGTTATTTCTTTACATATCGTCCAGGAGCGGGACACACTGTCAAACATATGTCACACATATCTTACTCTCTGAGCAGTGATAAAGTCTGTGCCCGGAGTTAAACCAACATTTAATCACATCTGTGATTGCGGAAATAGCAGGAAAGTTAGCCTATCTAATATCACAGCTAACGTTGGCGTTGGGGCAAACATTTAAAAAGACATCAATTACGTTTCTCCTCCAGTGTTTGTTGTGTTTGCCCTGAAGCGATAACGACATTATCTATCCCCCTGTCCTCAGTGACTGGGTGGGGTGAAGTTGACAAACGTTACAAAGCAAATCCAAGTACTGTTACTGTTCAGCCACTGTTCGATACCTTAAACTATTTGCTAAGCTGGTTTACTTTTACACACTTATCCTATCCTGTCCTTCTCCTGTTTACAGTGTACGACTGCTATCTGACTCCAGGTTACATACACCTGTAGTGAGATGAAACATTGAGGGCATATTATAAACTAATATAATTAATGTTTTAGAACTAGAGTCTGACACAGACCGCCTCTTTGAAAGAGGGCCACACAATCCCTGTAATAATGCAGGAACAAGTGGATATAATGCAAAATCTGAATTACCAGTTCTCTTCTCTTGCTCTTGTCTCATTTGTCCAGTTTAAACAGGAGGTATCCAAAAAGTTCGAGGCCAAGCAGGACCAGCTGGTGTTGATATTTGCCGGAAAGATTCTGAAGGATGGTGACACTTTAAACCAGCATGGTATCAAAGATGGGTTGACTGTTCATCTTGTTATCAAGACTGCCCAGAAGTAAGTATTTCATGAGGCGTGTGTAGGTGAAGAGGCAACGGTCAAGTCTGGTGAGAGCCGTATTTCACCATTGCTGTGTGTCTTAAGATCAACAGGTGGCAGTACATCTCAGACCAGTCCCAGTTCTGCACTACCTCCAAGTTACAGCAGCAGCACCTCCAGCGCCACTGTAGCAGACAGAGCAGCGGGTGGCACAACTCCGACACCAACACTACCTGCTAATGCAATGGGTAAGAATGTACAGATGTTTTAAATGACTTGCTTGCTTTTTGCAAATAATTGACACAGTGATTGACATAATAATGGCAGGTGATGGCAAGTTGATGAAAACGTAGGAAATACTGTAAATCCACATAGTGAAAAGACAACATCTGCATCCATATGCAACGTTTCTTTCCTGTAAGGAAATTATTATATCCTTCTAGGGGATTTGTCTTGCATAATGAGCCTTTTTAGAGCAAGCGTATAAAACATACATCAGACACTGTACACGTTATAAGCCGTGCACTAAACAGTAATGAGTCAAAACATTAATCACATAGGCCTACAGCAGTGTATGGAGTATTTCACAGAGGTTCAGTATTGGTCGACCCTTAGAATTGGGGAGTGGGCTCCAACATTTGAGGCTTGAAAGATGGTTTCAAACACACTTATTCACAAGCTGATATTTGATTGGGGTAGTTATGCTTATTATTTATATGACTGAACATCAGCAGCATTGTTTCGGACTTGAAATCAATCCAAACTTTCTTTTGCATTTCCACACGTGCTTTTGGCAAGAATAAAAACAAATAACTGTGTAAATTTTAAAATGTATTTAAGTGACTGCACATATATTAGGGAGGACCTGCAGCAAGTTACCATTAAAATGCCACATCGCAACCATGTGGGAGTTCCCCATCAACACATACCTGCAAGGAACTAATCCACAACTCCTCCTCTTCCTCCGCAGGTGGACTTGGTGACCTGTCTGGCCTGTTAGGTCTAGGCATGGGTTCATCCAACTTAATGGAGATGCAGCAGCAGGTGCAAAGTCAGCTGATGTCCAACCCACAGATGCTCACGCAGATTATGGGGAACCCGCTTGTCCAGAACGTGATGTCCAACCCTGACTTGATGAGACAGATGTTTGCAGGCAACCCGCAGATGCAGCAGCTCATGCAGCAGAATCCGGATGTCTCCCGTGTGTTAAACAACCCTGAGCTCATGAGACAGGTCGGTGCAGAGCTTCCATGTTAGTGCCCTGAAACACCAAGTCACCCTCACAGAGCTAGTGCTGATAAATGTCCACTCATCAAGTGAATGCCTTGTGTTAATTGTCGCATTAGTTCAGTTATTGCCCCAGTGACAAAGGCAAACAATTAAAAGCTGTGGGTGGCGAAGCCTATGTTGTAACTGTATTAATTTTCTGTGGGATGAGAACAGTTTGTTTCTCAAGGCAGAGTAGCCGACAGCATATGATGATTTTCTTAGTCAAAATACTACACATCGCCTGCGTCTTGGCGCATGTTAATTCTCCAGAAAAGCAGCAGTTTTATCACATTCACTCTCCAGGTCGGCACATCTCAGCTACTGTGTGCTGCTTGCTATCCTCAAGTGTAGCTGAGAGAAGAAGAGAAGTGGTTGAGGTAGAAAGAGTGTCAAGAAAAAGAGGTACATGGCTAAGGAAACACACAAATTCTATTTGGTCTGCAGCTTTTTTATCTTGATTGTTTCAATCATTTAGTCTATAAAATCTTATACCCTCCATAATTTCTCAGAACCCATGGTGATTACGATCAAATTACGAAAGACATTTATGGTAGTTTGCAACTATTTGGTGACTTATTGTTTTACTTTTTATTTTCTCTAAGAAATAGGAAAAATCCACAAAAAAAGAAAATCCACAATAAAACAAACTCAGGGCTGATACTGATGGCTATCGTACGCCACCTCAGCTCTTACAGTTTTTTTGTTTTCGTTATTTGACTCCTCTATTCCCTTGAGAGACCCTAGAGTTGGCAAGGAATTCAGAAATGATGCAAGAGATGATGCGTAACTAGGACTGGGTGCTTAGTAACCCTGAGAGCATCCCCTGGGTTTTTGAATGACCTACAGAGAATTTATGCAGACACCTAAATTGGTATCTTGTGTGCAAAAGATGAAGAGTGTCACCTTTCAGGACCTTGGGGAATCTGTTGACTTCTTTCACATTTGTCTGTGCAGATGCAGAATCCAGAAACAATGTCCATGATGACCAACCCCAGAGCCATGCAGGCCCTCATACAGATCCAACAGGGCCTGCAGACCTTACAGACAGAAGCCCCGGGATTCATGTCCAGGTACCAGCTATTTGCTCTAAAATGGATAAACTTAATTTGGTGGTCCACTATATGTAGCCATAGTATAATTTATGTAAAAAAACATTAAGCCAAATAGTAATATTTACACTGTATGAATTGTTTAATATTTGGTCAATATTTGGTAGTGGTCATTTAGAGTCACTGCAGTAGTAAAATGACCACAGTTGTTTGGATTTTTGACATGATCATTACTTCCCCCTTTCTAGATCCCCTTTAGGTCTCTCAGTTCCTCCAGCCACAGGGGGCAGCATCCCTCCAGCAAACCCTCCCCCACCAGCCATGGCAACAGGACCCAGCCCATTCTCGGCCACCAGTCCCTCTCAGCAGCAGCTCATGCAGCAGATGTTACAGATGTTTGCAGGCGGAGGGCCATCAGTATGTTTCAACTAATTGCTTGAATTTGTCCTGTTTTCCAAAATCGGAGCAGAAAGTCTTACTCATGGTTAACTTTTAAAACATACGTTGCAGTTTCATCTGTTTTGATTCTTATGTTGTCTTGATAAACTCCTAATTAGTTTTTAGGCTTGTTAGTGTTTGTCATTGAGACCACTAGATAATGCTATCCTCAACTTTGGTTGGCGTTAAATATGAATGTTATCCGTTTTGAATAAAATCAGTGTGACAGAAGATACATTTTCAGAAGAAAAAATGTACGTGTACAGGAAAAGTAATACAATAACAAATACAGTAACTGAAAGAAGTCAAATTGATAATTAAACTTAATTTAGTGCTGAAACCTTTTCAGTTTGAGTGTTAAGTAAACATGAAGCATCAGCTGAAATGCATTAATTTCAAGTGTATAAACTGAAAGAGAATTTCAGCTGAAACGTAAGGACTGAAAACACTTGTATTGTGTAAGAACAGTGGAGTTTGTGGGAGTTACAAGAACAGAATTATTTATATTAGATTTTTTATTAGAAAGAGAAAAGGGTTCAAAGTGTATGCATTAAAATGAGTTGTGATGCCAGCTGAAGTAGAGTTACTGAAAGCAGATTTAAGTGTCAACGTGATAAAAGCGCCATCAATTTGAGTTAATGCGAGTTGAATGGCTCTTCTGGCTCTTCTTTTCTGAAGGTGAAAAGTAAAACTTTAAATCTGACATTGTGTGAGAGGACAAGTTCAGCCCATATTTGAATGCATAAATGATGCATGAAGTGAAGTTAATACCAAGAGAGCATGATGTCAGCTTGATTTATATTTTAAAAAAGAAATTGTGTTAAAATGTTGTGTCAAAATCAGCTGGTATAAAGAAACATTCGGTGGAATCTCTTGACTCGCTAAAAAAAGCCTGTAAAACTGAAGCCTCTTTTTAAATAAGCAGTTTCTGACCTCATGCGTCATCTCTTCCCTCACAGCTTCAGACCCCGGAGGTTCGTTTCCAGCAGCAGCTCGACCAGCTCAGCGCCATGGGCTTTATCAACCGCGAAGCCAACCTGCAGGCGCTCATCGCCACGGGAGGGGACGTCAACGCCGCCATTGAAAGACTGCTAGCCTAACTCACTCAGTTCATTCTGGGGGTGAGGGTAGGAAAACTGGTGGAGTTGGTGACTGGCATCGGAGATTTTTTTTTTCTTTTTTCTTTTTTTAATTAATAACACAGTCATCAAATGCAAGTCTGACCTGACACCCAGATACTCAGTGGTATTCCAATCACCTGTTATCTCTTCAGCTGATCTGTACATCATAGGAAGGAGGTTGGGAAATCATGGCGGGAGACGTTGTGGAAGGATGTTGCTGGTTTCCAACAGAATTGGTCCTGTACTAAATGCCGTTGCAATACTGCTACTGTGAAATGACGCCACGACTATCACTGCCGTGACCACCGAGTTACTCCTGCCAGTGCGGCCGGTGATGATTTCTGACATGACAAGTGCTCATTCACTGGATGTCTACATTATGTTACCAAGGAATTAACTTTTAATAGTTACTTATTTTCACATTATTTAATTTGAACAGATTGTATTTAGGTGGTTTTTAAAAAAATGTTTAAAAAAAAAGTTGTGAATCCGGATGTTGTTGCAGTAGGTTGGATGATGGACTTCAGCACTCTGGGTCATGAGAACCAGCTTATTACTTTTTTTCCCCTTCTCCACCCTCTTGCCTGGTTGACTGGTATTTATTTAAGTTATCTCTTCACTTAAGTTTTTTTACCCTGACAGGTTCTTGACTCTTTCTATTTCCTCTCACAAGGTTTCTCTGAATTGTACGGATTCTTGTTGGTATGGCACTGCTGCCTAAATGGTTTAGGAGGAGGAGGAGAAGGTGAAGGTTTTTTGGTTGTAGGACCAAGACTATAACGTGTGTGTGGATAAGGGGTTGGACAATGTGACTTTATATACAAGAGACAATTATATTGAGACAATAGAGACTTTTCATCTGGTAGAAGGTTTGCTATGTTGAGGTAGATATCCCTCTTTGTAATACCTCTGGTTGTATTGCCTGAGATATTGGATTTACGGGATCTCCCTTGAATACATTTGTCAGGATTTTCATTTGCAGAATTAACCAAAACTATTGTTCACCTTTTTAAAAATAACGTACCGAATAAAGGATTTTATTCATATCACCCACCCCTTTAGACCATGTCATTAGAAATAACTTTCTTAGCAAAAGGTTTGAATCAAGTTGATTTTCTGTCGACTAACAGTAAATAAACAAGAAGCCATTTGGATTTTTTTGTTCTAAATTATAAAATGGTCTATATGAAGTGATTAATTGTGGTTATTGATTATTCAAAAGAAATTGAAAAGCTATTTGGGAATTGTTTTTAAAGTAAAATCAAACTCTTTCACAGTAACACTGTTGTGAATTTCCATACAAGCAGTGTGTTGCCTGAATATAATGTTGGGCTCTGCACTATATTGCAAGTTATCTAGGAAATCTATTGTTTTACCTATGGAGAGATGAATAGTCTTTTTTTATCTTAAACCAATAAATTATTTGCAATGTTTGTCTTGTCTATTGTAAATGTGTGTGGATAATTTATTTTGGCAATGCAATTTGATAGTTGTATTATGCTGAATTTAATCCTTGATTCAGATTTCCATTTGTCCTTGCAGTGTGTTTTTGCCTATAACCTATGACACATTGTTCACTTCTTCCAGTGATATCTGAAAGGTCTTACAAGTATGTTACTCTTACTAATTATTAAATGAAAATTTAAATAATGTCTTCGTCACTGGCAGTCATCTGTACAGTTATGTTAATAAAGTAAATGTAGCGATACCACAAATATTATTCCGGGAACTGTTAAAGTCTGTATTGTGCCTTTATTAAATCTTAAGTACACAATACTTTATAAGTATTAAAAGTAAAATGACCTATTTGTTCTTATTGCTTGTTTTTAATGTATGTTTTAATTTGTCTCTCAGTCTTTAATGTATTCTGAAAGGTTGGATAATTTATGATAATATGAAAATGAAATTCACATAAAATCTTAAACTACAACAGAATATAGATTATATATTTACATCTGAAATATTATAAATACTTTACATTTACACATTTAACTAAACATAACTATGTTAAATCAGTATATTAAAACGTTATCCTTTCATCAATGTGGACTTTTAAAAAAAAAAAAAAAATATATATATATATAATATATATATATATATATATATATATATATATATATATTCACTGCCTACAATTCCCACAATGCATTGAGAAAACACCCGGAAGAGCAAGAAAACATCAGCTGACTTGACTTTGTTTGTTGAGTAGTTTTTTGACAGTTTAAAGGTGTTTGTTTGGTCACATAAGAGCACAACTATTTAAAATATAATCACAAGTGAGTGATTAAGTAGCCATGTTACGACCAAAGGCGTTAACGCAGGTCCTCAGCCAGGCGAACACAAACGGAGTCCAAAGCACACTGTGAGTACGGTGAGCCCGCTAGTTAGCAGCATGCTAGCGGTATGTTACTCGGTACGAGTTAACGTTAATACCGGTTTTTGGCTATTATACAGTTTGTTGTTTTAATGGTTACTGTGGTGGTATTTTTTTGACAATCGTGTAAATATAAAGAGGGGTAAAATATCGGGAGGAACAGACCCTTTCTCCTGAATGCTGCGGTGCAAGTGGCAAATGCTAATAACATTAACCAGTTGTTTATTTAACTGTAATTACTCTTGGCAGTTTACTAACACTGGGTAAACCTTGTGTTTAAAAATCTTATCTAATCTTAATCTGTTTTATTAGTTGTTACTTTTTTTTTTTTTTTATTGTGTAACAATCTGCCAATTATTGAAATCGTGTTGTGTTCATAATGTCTGAATATAGTTATATCGTTATAACTTCACCAGCCAGGTTGAGGTCTTCAGTTTGCCTGATTTATCCAACCAGCTGTCCAAATCCCAAAGATATTCAGTTGAATATCACATGTGGGAGGGAAAAAAAGCCATCAAATACTCACATTTGAGACATTATTATCCTGTAACAGTTTATAAAGTCATTGATTATTTTTTCTGATGATTAATCTAAATTCACTAATTAGGTCAAACCTTTCCTGTAATTTTACAGAAGCTTTTTATTTCTAATTACAGCCTTAATATCAATTCAAATTGGACTTCAACACGGTCCGGCACGTTGGTTGAACTGTGACCACCACATGGTCATTTTAACTTGAAGCAAAAAAGCAACATAATTCATAAAATGTTCTGTATTTGTACGTGGTTCAAGCAGTTTGATATAATACTTTATATGCAGCATATACAATGATTGTATTGGTAGCCCACACCTCCACTACACCCTCACCCTAGCTGTAGATATTACCAGCAGTGTTAGGTAGCTTGATAAAGATAGCTCGAGTAAAATCCACATGCTGACACATTTTTATCTGCTGGATACTGAAACATCCAAACTTTGAACTATTTTTCACCAGTTTACTGAATAATGAAGGTTCACTTCTGGCTTACTCTGGATATGGGGACACTGACGCACGAGTGACAGCCGCCATCGCCAGCAACATCTGGGCAGCCTACGACAAGAACGGCCACCAAGCCTTCAACGAAGACAAACTCAAATTCATACTCATGGACTGTATGGTAAGAAACTATTGCTGTTGTTCTCATGTATGTGATGAGTATTAATCAGTGAATTCAAACACCTGACACTTGGGCACTTTGTCATTCTCTCTCCATCTCTCTCTTGTTTTCTCTCTCAGGAGGGAAGAGTGGCCATTACTCGTGTAGCCAACCTACTGCTGTGTATGTACGCCAAAGAGACAGTGGGCTTTGGGATGCTTAAAGCCAAGGTGAGAGTTGTAACACTTGTGCTGTCAGTCTCATTAGTTCCCCATACCACCAATGTCTTGGTTTCAATGTCATGGTATTTTATACATTTGCTGTAATTTGCTTAGTCTTTTGTGTATTCGAGGTTACAGCACAAAAATGTGATAGGGCCTTTTTTATCTTTGTTGAAGGTCCCTGACGATCACCGTGTGATATTCAACAAAACATTAATTAATTGGACATTTGTTGACAAAAGGTGTGACGTATTACGACATGAACAGGTTTAAATGTATCTTAATACAGTCAGCAAGGGTGGCAACTCTCCAGTTAGCAGCTTTTGAAACAGCAGATCAGGTTTAAATGCTGTATAATATGTGAGGAATGGGAAATAAGATGCAGCCACAAGTGAACAAAGGAACAAAGACAGGTGCATATTGAAGTTTGTGAGCTTGTCAGAAGGTGAACACTAAATTTAGTTGTTTTAGTAAAGTGTGGAGACCTCCAGCATTCAGGCTTTTTTTTTTTTTAATCAGACAGAATATTTTAACTGGTTGAATGATGAACTGAAATTTCACACCTGTAGCTTCTTGATGTGGTAGATTTCAGTTAAGTTGTGTTCAAGTGTGTGTGTTAAATGTGTGCAGTTGAGAAGCTTCAGCTGGCACTTTGGTATACTGAGTCAGTCCCAAATAGCCACACACAACTGACACAACTGCATTTAACAATATGGTAGAAACATGTTCTAGTTTACTGTAGTCATAACACAAAATGAGTTATTTTTAAGTTAAATCTGCCTTTTACTTGCTCAGTTAATTCATTAATCATCATTTGGTTTATAAATCATCATAAAACTGTCCATCGCAGTTATTTAGAGACTAAGATGGTGTCATCAAATGCCTTCTTTTGTTTAACCAAAACCCAAAAGCAGCAAATATTCACGATCGATACAATCATATAATTACATTTTTGCTTGAAATCTGACTTAAAATGATGAATTGATAATCAGAATAGTTCCTGACTCGTCAAAAAACCTACAGCCTTTGATAGCACTGCACCGTGTATGTTGTGTGTGTGTGTGTGTGTGTATAGGCAGAAGCTCTGGTGCAGTACCTGGAGGAACCATTAACCCAAGTGGCGGCATCATAGTGGAGACGTGACTGAAGCTGTGCCTGCTCCTGTCTGCCTGGAGGAAAAAGCACCATATGATCCAGGTCATTGATGGACTACTGTAACATTCTGTGTACATGCATATATCTATGAGTGAGTGCGTGATTGTGTGCGTAGGAAGGAGGAGTCGGTGTATTTATAAAGAAAGTATTGAAACTAATGATTTCTATGGGTTTTTAAGTATTTGCCCTCCCTTGTGACTCTGTTCATCTAATGGTCTGTAAGTCCTGTCTGTCAGTGGGAAGTCTGATTCTACTGCTGAAATGAATCCATTATCAACTGGTCCCACGGTCGATTCATTCATTTGCAGTTTTAGTTCAGGCATGCCGAGAACAGTTAAGCAGAAAATTGAACATTTTGAATCCCATTGGAGGAATAAAATGCATAAAATACAAAAGTTTGTGGTAACCTTCATGAGAATTTCTGCCTGATAAAATGAATTATGATTACTTGCTATGTTTTGTTTCAAAGCTTTTAAATAAACAATTTTTTGGAAATATATTCACACAATCTTATTTTGTTTTCGTTTTGAACTGAGTGCTTGGTGTGACATGAGTCAGCAGAGATGGACGTGACACAGATTAGTTCAAAGCTAAAATATAATGTTTACCAGGATTAGGTCTTGAAAATACCCATAGTGTCAGTATTCTCTGATTCACGTATAACTGTATCTGTTTTTTAGTAAGCTTGAAAGAATGTCTTAAATCAGTATGAAGTAGTTTAGATTTATATTATAGTTTGTATTATTACCCTCTAACAAAGCTTAGTAATTATTAATTGCTTTTTCAGCTATATGCAAATTAAAGAACCAGATATCCCTCATGTTGTTATTTTGTTCTATTTGTAATTCTTATTTTCATCGTATGCACAGCATATCTGTTACTTGAAGATGTGACAACGTTACAATTTGCATCCTTAGCTCTTTGACATTTTCCTGTAGATAATTACAGGATATACTTGTTTAATCATATCAGACTTTCTCTTTGCTTGCTCACTTGCCTTAAAACCTGAAATGAATACCGATAAAATCATTTGAGTAGCGTAATAATTGGAAAACTGAAAATCCTTCATTCGAAGTGCAGTTTAATCACAGCCCGAGGCTTTTTTCACTTCACTTTAAATCAGTTGGATATTTAAATCAGATTGATTAAAACAAGATTTCCCTTTTTAGTGTCTTTGTTGCACACAGCATGTCTGTGTTTAGAGACAAACATGTTCAATAATGTAAGACATACTGATGACTTACTGCTAGAAACATAGTGAAAAGAGTTTTATTTTAACACGGAAACAGTGTGCCCATGGCCGAGTTAACCATGACGGAGGGAAAAAAAAGGTGCATTAATATGTTGTTGGGTGCATTAATGGCCCAGAATACAAAATCTACAACTCGCAACATTATTAGTGACCTTGACGTCTGTGGCAAAGAGAAATTGGAGAAAGTTAAAGATGTCTGACTAAATACATAATAGTCTCAAAATAATAGAAAATAGGAAAAATGAAAGCATCTCTTGACAATACATTTTGAAGAGATGTTACTAAAATGACCACACAACAGATCTGTATTTAAAAAAGGAACATGACAATCAAGAAGAAAAAGAATTGGTTGTTATTGGCAGAGGGAGACATATATCATGTGTGAGTCCATATTCCAGTAAAATCAGCATAGATACTGTTGGTCAGCTTAAGACTGACACACAATTGGTCATGTAGTGATGAAGCAAGTGCTTACTCCATGCAATAATCTGATTGGTCCAGCAGGAGGCGCCTGGCAGTCCCTCTCACCTGTACCTGGTAGTCGGCCCACCTGTCCAACCTGCCCTGCACTGACTCCATTACTTAAGACACACCTCCACTGCTGCCCCAGCACTCCCTGACACAAGCCCCGCCCTGCTACAGCAGAGCAACCTGGATACACTCAACATGTCTTGTTCAAACAAGCCAGCTTTCTATCAACTCAGATAGGGAAGGGTAGTTAAGGGCAGAAAACTGGCAACTGGCATTCATCTGTCAAAACATTTTTGCTGCCATTTCCTTTCCCAAAGCCTGAGGAACTGAGGGGCAGGCTGGTTGTGGTGTGAGTCAGTGTCATCTTACATCCTGCAATCAGTTTGTGAGTGCTGGAGTCGCGGCAGTAAACTGGGGTGGCAACATTGAATGGACAGAATATGGGGTCAGATGAAGCCTACAACTTTGTCTTTAAGGGTGAGTACAGTTCTGCTTTCTTGAGTCGATCTGCAGGTACATCCCTAAAGTCTTTCAAAGGTGTTATTGTACAACGTTCCTTTGTCCTTCAAATTATACTTCCTTGTTTATTATTAACTTGGCAGTTTTTAGGAACAGGCATATGTGTGTCAACTGAATGTAATAGATTATTAGTAATAAACAGCTTAGTTTAACATACAGTACATAGTAATACACAGCTCAGACAACTAATAGCCTGAACTTATGTGTCTGTGTGTCAGCAGTTCTGTCACCTGTTTAGGTAAATATTGTGAGAAGGTATTTTGCAAGTCTTAAAACATATCAGGTGAGTTGCATTATTACAAAGTTGAGTGATACTACAATCACATTTCCAGTTCAGCACATTTTCCCTGGGTACGTATGCAGTAAGCATGCATGGTACAGCTTATTGTTGCAACCAGGATGTGTACTTTAATTCCTGCTTATCTGTTTCATTTCATGCACAACAACATTGTAACAGAGTGTCTGGTTTAAAGTAGTATATCTGTGCCAAACAACAAAGTACATCACTCAACCAACACATCCAGTGTGTAACAGTGTTTTCAGTGCATCTTCACTGAACTTGAACTCTGTTCTTTGAAAAGTTGCACCTTGCACTATTCACTCTAATTATTCAGCCCATAACTTACATGGCATAGTACTGATTTCTTATGTGTAGCTTGTTAAGGTTCCAGATGGGGAAGTGAGAAGTGAAAGTCACTCAGAAAGGTGATTTGGTTCAGGTACAGTGATCTGACATTTGGGTACAAACATGCTATGATGATGAAAGGCACTGCAGGGGAATGATGAAGCCAAAGTAACTGTGTCCAAAACATCAACAGCATCACTCACAAGTTCCTCTGCAACATTAGACATGTAGACGGCTGAGTCAATTTTATTCACACAGCCCAAAATCACACAAAATTCATCTAGAAAGGCTTTGGGGGCGGCCCAAGAGCTTAGTGGTTAAGGCTCATGCCACATTACAACATGTAATTGTTCAGTTCCACCTCGGGGGCTTTTTGCATATCACACCTCTTTCTCTCTCTCTCTCTCTCTCTCTCTCTCTCTCTCTCTCTCTCTCTCCCGCATTTCCTGTCTATCTGGACTGTAGGCAGAAATGGAGGGGCTTGTTGATTTGGTTAAGAAAAACTCCCCCCAAAACTGTAAAGGTATATTTGTTGTCTTGCTAGATAAGAAAACTCATCACCTCCAAAGCTCACTAATTAATACATCTCATTTGTATATCCATGCAAAGACTGAAGTGTAAAAACAACAACTTGTGGTTTTGTGTAAGGTTATTTGCAAGACTATTTCTCAGCCAGGTGCAGTGCATACTGGAGTCCCCGCTGGTTGTCTAGCAACCTCATGGTGACTGCAGGAAGTCACTGCTACCTCTTCATAAGGCTGTAAAATATTGAGCTCTTCCTTTAATGGAAAAAAGGCAGAAACCTCAAGAGCAGCAACAGAGGAGGAATCCCTCCTCTCGCCGGTGAATTGTGAATGTGTTCCCAAACTGATTGTTATCGCTGAGTAAACTCACTCCTAAAGCAGTGTGTGCTATAGTATCTTATGAGTATGTGCAGGTTCATTCCACCCAGCGATTCCAAGATAGCTCGAAAAAGAAACTTATCAGTAAAATCAAATTCTATGGTTTGCTTGGTATGTAAGCCTACACACTTCACACAGTACATGGGCACATTGTGGGAGAACACTGCAGGAGTCAGTTTATTTTATCTTAGAAATATTTTTTTAAGTAAGTATTGCTACTGGACTTTATAGTTTGCCAAAAACTGTATCACTGCATAAAACTAAGTTACTAGGTATTTAAAGTTAAGTTAAGTTAAGTTGTAGGATGTCATAATGAAACTTTGCTCTATTGAATATACCTCAAAGTTATTTTTAAGTTTCCATCAGGATTTCCACTGGGATTTCAGGGCTTCAGTAGTTACATTTCCACTCCTAAAGGTCATGAAAACACAAAAAACGAAAAGGTAATCCTCACAGCAACACATCAAGTTCTTCCCAGCTTCCTCAGGATCAACAAACCAGGCCGGCGCAGAGCTTGAAGGCCTCTTGTCCCGCATTGCCATAGAAACCATGGGTATTGTTTGCATAAGAAGTTACTTAGTGGTGGAGGAGAAGAGAGGGGAAAACAGGCATTCTCACCTCACCCATTGGAAAAAGAAGCAGTACAGTAGATCGCTGTGCCACTGCAGTAAACAATTACCTAAAACAAGCAAAAGTAGAGCAACTTGTAAAACATTGTTTGCAGGACCTTAGACTTCAGGTTAAACATACTGTTAGTGAAGAACAGGGGCCACCTTTCAGAGTGTACCTTTATGGGAATGCGCAGGTGTTCAGGAGAAAACGTGCCAGCATTTTTTATCTGTGACTAGTGAATAGTGAGCAAGTGATTTGTAAACTCCAGTTGAAGTTCATTCTTTGCCTTCGACACAGAGTTTGAGAAAATAATCACAAATCACAAGGTCCATTTTGTAGCTGATCTTAAGCTTTCAACCACATACTCTTCATAAGCAGATGGTTTACCCAGGTGATGTTTAAATTAGCATTTATTTGGAGCATTTTAAGGACATCATGTTCATGTTGGCTTGAAGTTCAAAGTTAATATCCAACTTTGGAAAACAAAAAAGTTACAAAGAAACGTCTCACTACAAGGTTCATTGGGTTCATTTAGTAACTGTCCTGGTACTTTAAATCATATCATATGATCATTAGCAGACTGAGATGGAAATTTGAACATCTACAGTTTCATGACATGGGTAACTCCATATGCTGATGAGGATCATGTGATATGACTGAAAGCCCCTAAACAGTTACTAAAATGGACCTTGTGGTGAGATTGTTTTCTCAACCAGCCAGCAGAAGAAGAAGTATTCAGGTGCTTTACTGAGGAACAAGTAACAATACCACAGTGAAATAAATGCTCCATTATAAGTTAAAACCCTCCATTCAAAATCTCACTAAAGCAAAAGTACATCAGTATTAGATGCTACATTTACTTTAAGTATATGAACTAAATGTACTCATTATGAACATGCTTCCATTCAGAGTTCTATATTTATCATATATATATATGATTGCTGGTTCATTAAAGTATTTTTGTTTTTAAATGTCAGTTTTTGTACAGAATTAATAAACATGATTTAATGTGTTAATTACCTTTATAAAGATGTTCGTACAGAGTCAGGGGAGCTGTTTCCCCCCTGCTTCCAGTCTTTATGCTAACCTGTGCTAACCTACTGCAGACTGTATGTTTAATGTACAAACGTGGGAGTCGTATCAATCTTCTCCTCTAACTCTCAGCAAGAAAGCAAATATTTCCTAGAATGCCAAAACTGTTCTTTCAACTTTCATCACACCCTAACTCCATAGCTACATAATTGCAGTGGAGATTTCACAAGAACTTGGATTGTCTCACAAGCTCACACACCTCAGCAGTAAGCTGTGACTGTGTCCTATCCAGTTGTGCAGAGATCCCAGTACTTTCCTGCCTGTGCCAATTAAGCCAAGCCTCTCTCTGAGTCAGCTTCTAACAACTGAAACCCAAACATTAGTCACTGAAATGTACAGAGGGGGTGTCTGTATTATTAATTGCCCTGTTTACCCAGTAGGTAGGTTCCTCTGACCAAGATAGAAGGAAGTAGCAGCTTAACTTGTTCCACCTGATTTGGAATCACCTTACACTCTAAGGGACTGTTTTATCTCCCAAAACAATGGCTCACTTGTGAGTGTTTTTTACTTCAATGGTTTTAAGTGTTCTAGAGGGGGTAGTGTGTCTTCAGAATGTCTATTGTAAAGTCCCTAAGTCTTCTGTCACCACATTTCTGCCCCAAGTGGTGAATGTTTTAATTCTGCCTGTGCTTTGCAGTGTATTCAGTGTATTTTAGAATTGGCATCTCACCAGTGCATGCTGGGATAGCCTACCACCCCTCAGTATCCTTGGTTATCTCCTTACCATTAAATAATGTGGTGTATTTTATTACTGTCATCCCATGTTGTTCCCCAGTGTTTTACTCAGCAGTATTTGCTCTTCATGTAAAAACGATAACTGATTTACCAACAAGGTGTGGTGCTGTTTTTAATATAGGACATCATATCCCTAAGTGTGTAATTAGCTCCAGACTTAGACAGTTAAGACTGAGGATGTATGGGGCAACCAAAAAAGACACACCTAGACTAAAGACTTCAATTAAAAAGGGCTGTAAAGGATGACGTGGATATTACAGTATTAGACTCTGTGAATAGGAGTTTTGTCTTCTTTATCCAAAAAATACTGGGTTTACTTTTGCAACGACCAGATCAAACCCTAAAAAACTGAACCTTAATTCTTGGGTTTATTTACTGTATTTTGTGTCCTCTGCAGTGGTTCTAATAGGAGAATCTGGTGTAGGAAAGAGCAATCTGCTCTCTCGCTTCACCAAAAACGAGTTCACCCATGACAGTCGCACAACCATAGGGGTGGAGTTCAGCACACGGACAGTGCAGCTCAGCGGCTTCACCATCAAGGCCCAGATCTGGGACACAGCCGGGCTGGAGCGATACCGGGCCATCACTTCTGCGTACGTGTCAAAACCCATCACAGCTTTTTTATAAATCCATTAGTATGTGTGCTCATTCTCTCTCTCTCTCTCTCTCTCTCTCACACGCACACACACACACACACACACACACACACACACACACACACACACACACACACACACACACACACACACACACACACACACAGAAACACAGAATGGCAGTGTGAATGTTCAAATGTTTTTGCATATCTGTATGTCTGAATATTGTTGCCCAAATTTGCAATGCTTTTCAGCTGATTTTCAAGGCATTCCTGCAGTTATTTTATGATTAAATATTAAATTTCTAGTCCATCCACATTTTGTTAAACTGTCTCAACTGTAACAGTTTACCCACAGAGAGGGGAAGTGACCTTGTTCCTTTCAGTCTAATTAGGGCATATGGGCATGTAAAGAGCCAGAGAGTCCCCTGTTTAAATTGCAACATGAATTGTGGATGTAGTATTTTATGATCTTACTCTCAGTAAAGAAATTGGCAACTGATCCAGGCAACCAGCGGACATGTTAATTAGTGAGCTTTAGAGGTGCTGGTGGCTGGATTTTACCTTTGGATAGAGAAGACACAGAGAAAGTAGAGACAGTTTTTTAAATCAACATTTCATGCTTGTTTTCTTGCTCCATAATTGTTGAGCAACCAGTATGTCAGCATCTTAAGGTGGTGCTGTTATCAGCCAAAACACACGCAAGGACAGGCACTGATCCTCAGTTTCCTCCCACATTACCTGAAAAACCAGCACATTCTCGTCTCCTGTCAGTTTCCAACTGGCACACTTATGCGCCAAAATCCAGTTGGTTAGGGCAGAGACCTTTGTTTGAACACTCAGCCCTCAGTGGGTCCCTGTTCTATCTGAGGGTGCTCCTGATTCAGTCTTTTTTTAATTAAACTAGAAGGATTACCAATGTGGAAAGTGGTTTTAAAACAATAGAACCATGTCAGTTTTATTTGAAAGACACGGAAAAATCTGAGGATATGCTATAACGCTGGCTTAGCTCTTTTCTGACAGCTTGGCTTTTTAAGTAATTACTTGCCGACTTATTCCACTATTCAAATTCTCACTCCCATGGAGTTTCTCATTTGTGCTGTAACAAGCAGCTAAAACCTATTAAAGTGGAATTAATTATGCTACTAGAGGACAGTAGCAGAAATGTAATTGTGATGAAAGTATTGATTGGTCCATGACTTCAGAGCAATCGTCAATCATTCAATTTTTTACAGTTGACAGCAGAACAATGCTTAAAGCGTCTCAAATCGATCGGGATCAAATGACCGTGTGCTGTGAAAGGGGTCACTCTTAGCAAGAACCCATAATCATCACCCGACTCTGCAGAGCTGCATGACATCTTTCAGCTCATCGTTTTGGTTTTTACGGCGCACAACTTTACTGTTTTGGTTCACTGTAGCTGCTCTCACATTGTCACAACAGCTAATAATGTACATATGCATGCTTGCTGCAGAACCAAATGGCAGGCCGACCAAAATAGCATCTAGCTGGAATGGAAGAGCCAGATATTTTCCTCAAATGACTTACGTTACACTCCAAAGTTGGAATGTGTAAAAAGGAAACTATTTGCTAACAAGTTCACCATTTCAACTCAAAATGCAACGATATGTAAATGTGTTTGCAGCTTTTTTCCACTGCCTCCAAGTGGCCAAATAATCTGTTATTACATTGTGTTTAGTGTGTGTATGCAGATTGTTAAGCTTCATTAAAGTATTTTCCTAAATGTCACATAAGGAGTAACTGTAAAGCCACTCTCCTCCGATCAGGTATTACAGAGGTGCTGTTGGAGCCCTGCTGGTCTATGACATCACCAAACACCTCACTTACGAGAGTGTGGAGCGCTGGCTGAAGGAGCTGTACGACCACGCTGACCCCCACATTGTGGTCATGCTGGTGGGCAATAAGACTGACCTGGAGTCAGAGAGATCTGTGCCCACTGAGGAGGCTCAAGGCTTTGCAGGTACAAAGAGCTGTGCTGAAAATCATTACATTGGATTTGTGTGCTCATTGTTCATAATTGGTTAATGGGAACTGGATTTATGATGATTGTAGAGAATGTAAATTAGTCTGATGTTTTGTGATTTGGGGAATGTAGCTTTAAAGTGACACCAGCAAGAAAATTATAAATAATATATTTAAAATAACTAACATAGCCTATTTGTCTTATTTGTATTATCTAGAAAAGAATGGTCTTTTGTTTCTGGAGACCTCTGCTTTGGAGTCAACTAATGTGGAGGCAGCATTCAACAATGTCCTAGCAGGTAACTTATTTTACTGTATTTTAACTTTTTTGCAGGATATATTCTTACCAATACAGTATGGTTGTTATAGTCTATTAACTGTGTGGGTGGACATATAAATGATGTGGGTTGGATACACGCGTTTTCCCACAAACATGCTGGGATAAGGCTCTACCCTGTGACCCTGAATTCAACCTCACATAGCCATACCTCCATCTCTTCAGCTCATGGAGGTTTAAAAAAGGCTAGGTCTAGAAAAGGCCAGGAAAATTTGACCTTTGATTTGATTGACTACTTTAGAAAGAAACCCCTCTGGTTGGTTTTTGGTTGGAAATGAACAATTTCACCTATTAATTTGTTTTGTGAAAGGTTCTTGTCAACTTTTTTGCATCATTAAACTCAAGAACTAGAGGCATATTTACTTGTTTTGGTGCTATAATACTTCTACTTTTGTCCTCTCAATGTCCTCTCTATTCTAGCATGCTGTAAATATATAATTTATATTAATTTTCTACCACAGAGATTCAAAGAAAGGTGAGCAGTAAGGAAGTGGTCCGTGGCTCCATCAGTGCTGTGTCCTTAAACTCCAGAGCAGAAAACACAGAGGAGCAGAAGCCTTGCTGCAGGAACATCTGATCACAAGGTCCTTAAGAAGCCCAGGGGCCTCAGGGTGGGCGACAGGTGAACTCCTCCTTCACCCACAACCCTGTGCTAAAGCTCGACGAGAGGCAGGCGACACGGCAACCATGGGTGCCAATATTAATGGTCCTCCTGGCTTAAGTGGCACTTTGAAATGACTGATTTACAGGTTTTACAAGCTACATGGTGGCTCGATGTATACAAAAGATGATTCATGTGAACGAATGAAGCTGGAGAACAACATCAATCTTTTAACAGTCCCTGCTGACTATTGAGCATAGGTCAAAAATAACACACTGTGTTACCTGTAAGATGATATATTTATAATCCATGCAGAGAATTGGAGTAACGTAGACGCACCATAGCATGTGTAATGTTTAAAACGTAAATGACACATTGGCTATTACTTTATGTACGGACTGTGGGTCTTGCTATCGCTGCTGTGTGTGTTCTCCGGCTGATGATCTAGGATGAGTCCGATTTCATTTCTTTGGAGAAATAAACGATTTATTGAGACGGTTGGCTTACTGCGTGTTTTTTATGTCTAATAACAAAAGACAGGCCCTTTTCACAGACGACATTTTGACATGTCAAAATAGAAAATCACAGGTGTAAATAATATAATGAATAATGGCTGAAATCAGTTTATAAGTTTCAAGGTTCTGGTATTGTGCATACTGGCTCACTGGAAACCCTGAAGAGAGCAAAGCCATTGTTAGTGTTTTCAGTAACACCTGTGCTCTTCCCTCAAAGTAGGGATAGATAGATAGATAGATAGATAGATAGATAGATAGATAGATAGATAGATAGATAGATAGATAGATAGATAGATAGATAGATAGATAGATAGATAGATACTTTATTTATCCCGAGGGAAATTCAAGTATATAGTCAAACTATCTGCAATGATGAAGGCCTATAGACTTTTCAAGTAATTATAAATTAGATTAGTAAGTTTTACCATCTCAGCAATGATTCAGTTCAAGTCAAATGCTAGTTTTCAATCACAATAACACACACACACACACACACACACACACTCCTAAACTGACAATTTCTGTGGTAAGCTCAACTTTCTGAGAAGCCCTCCATTATTTTATGAGTTAAAGTCAAGTTTTAAACCAGATTTGGCCAAGATCTATGTGCGAACCATGCCCTTCTCAAACTGTTTCACGTCAAAAGCTGCATCAGCGGTTCATAACCTTGTTCATAATGAGGTCTGAAAATTCTGGAGACTTCTACATTAAAAGAAATGAAGACGAAAAAGGTCCTGAGAAAAGAACAGCAATGAATTTTAGACGTACAGCAGCATCTCCGTCTGACAGAGTAGGTCAGGTGTGGGCAACCTTTTCAAGCATATCTTTATTTTGACTGTGCTGCAATAATTTACTGGCCTAATTAATGTTGGCTAAAGCAGGCAAGAATGATGATGCATGTAGTGAATGAGCGTGCAGGCCTCTTTAGAGGGCTGGGGAGATATGATAAAAATGTTTTTCCTTCCTGCTGCAAATTTAATAACAGTAAAACCCAAGCAGCTGTCAGTTTTATGGGAAATTAGTAGACTGCCTCATAAAAAAACAAGAGCTTAACCAATAACTGCCTTTTATCAAACACCGGATATCAGCTGGTCTTTGTTACCGACGGCTCCATGTCTGATATGATGAGGAGGTTCATCCCTGACCACAACAACATGGAGACTGTCTGTAAAACCTGCAGTGAAATCTCATTTAATGATGTGCTGAAACACTGACTCAATAAAGGCTGAAACATGTTTCAGGGACTTTCTGATTCTGGCAAGTATTAAATTTTTAATTACTGTTTATACTATGTATCATTATTCGCCCTTTGCTCTATAATAAATTATATAGATACTCAATAGGGTGCATTTATTTAAATCTCATGCATTTATATCCCACATTTCAGGATCAGTATCTTAGGTTCCAATATTAGCTTCTTACCCCTTTGTTTAAAGTAATAGATGTTCAATTTAAAATAGTTTTGTTTAAGATAGTAAGCTGGACTTGGTGAGATACTTTCTTAAAAGATGTGATGAAACTTGGATGTTTGTACATCTACAGCCAAATGTTTTGGATTGACCAGCAAATTCTCAAACCATAAAAACTAACTTTTAGCCACTTTTAGTATTCCTCTGAAAACTTTTGCGGAATTCAATGGATAGCTTTAAATCCTCTTTTCTCTGTATCTTTGTTGTGAATTCAATTATCATAGTAAAGTCTCCCAATAAAGTATTTGAAAAAGAATATTATTAATCTATTAATTGTATTATATTGTTAGCTACACATTGCAGGCAACAACTGTGACTTGGGGCAGCTGTGGCCCAGGAGGCTGAGTGGGGCGTCCACTAATCAGAAGGTTGGGGGTTCAGTCCCCAGCTCCTACATCAATATCCCTGTATCTTGTACCTTGAGATCCACTGAGCAGACCATAGAGTGTGTAATTCAAGTTGAACTACAGCTACTGTATGTGCCATAGACTGTGTCTACTGTAACTGTGGTTCAGCTTGAATTATTTGTCTCTATATAAGATGACAAAGAATCTGATAAAGCCTGAAATCCTCACATTTTAAAGGGAAGTGGAACAAATATTTAGGATCAATTAATCCAATCATTGCAGGTCTGCGTGTTTGTTTGTTGGATTTAGAAATTGATTTGGGAGGGGTGACGCTGTGGAAATGCTGTAAACATCGATCACAGATACAGAGCACTCAAAATTCTATAAATCAAAATTTAAGTGTATTTAACCATGTTTCTCTGAGACCCCAAATATAATGCATTTAGGCATCATCAGTCAAAATCATATTTATAAGAAATTCCTATAAGTATAGGATAAGTCCTTAGGTCAAGAGAGTAAAACAATGTGTACATTTTTTTAAACTGGGCCCAGGGTCTCCATGGACCCCAGACAGAAGCTTTGTATTCTCAGAATGGCTTCTTTAGTACTCCACATTATCTGCAGCCTAATGTGGGCTGAAGTGACACATTTCTGCTGTGAGATATTTGTGATAGCAATGTTTGCCAGCTGGGCTTTGCTGCTGCAAACTAACCTGAAGCTTGATTTCTTATTTTTTATTTATTTTATTTTTATTTTTTTTTACTTACTTTGCAAACAGGTGAATAGACAATACACCAAAAGACAATGTCAGAGGACAGACGGAAATCATAGATTAGTTAAATAAATTATACAAGGTAAGCTCTGATTGCTTTCTAATTTAACAGTATGAGGGTAGAGTAATGTTTTGTTTGATTTCACTTACAAATAAAAAAAAGATGGCTTTTAATTGGAAAATTAAGATTTGTGGATGTGGAATTTTGCAGGCAGAAGGATCAAATTGATGGTATAATACTGATTTCTTTACGCAGAGGGGTGAGACAACAAACAAACAATGTATTTTCATATAAAAGGGTAAAATCAGAAACTTCAAAAGCACAAATATCTATATAGGAATGGGGGACAAGTCCAAAATAAATGACATAAATCTTCTCCAGTTGACAAATTAGCACGTTACATCAATGTCCTTTTTATATCTTTGCAAAAATAATTTGGAGTGATGAATCATTTTAAAAGACACTTCCTTGACCTTATTTAAAATAAAATATCTATTTAGACACCATATTTTTCTCCGGTCCAGGTCTGGATAGATTATTCCAGTAGGAGACAACATTTGCAACAGAGACCACTTCTTTTTGGAATAAGGCACATATATATCTATATAGTTATTATTCTTTTTAGAGGAGAAACAGATTGGACCAGGATCCAGTGGTACTACAGTCAGTTCAGATATAACTAAGTTTCTAAGAAGCATTACAGCACCAGAAGCAATTAAAAAAAAAAAAAAAAAGCAAAGCATATTCCCTTTGGTGGTATCATATAGGAACACCATACTTGTCTTAAAAAAAAAAAAGAAAAAAAAAAATGACATTTACATACCACTAGAAATTATGAGCTGAGTAAATTCCTGAAGCTTGATATTACCTGTTGAGGCTTGGGGCCGCAGACGTCATCAACAGCGATCAAATCATGAACGACAGCGCAGCGGACCAATCACGGCAACACTCGTGACAGGTGTCGATCAGCTATTGACCAGTGGGAGTGAACAAGGGGGCGGGACAACAGAAAAAAAAAAAAAAAAAACTGACGTTACGTCGCAGCCTCGGTAATGGCAAATGACAGAGGTTGAGGAAGAGGAGGCGAAACTTTTTCAGTTACTAGTTGCTGTTAGGGGTTAGGTTTTTTTTTTTTCGGTCTACGCTTGATAACAACAGCAGTATTATATTCTTCCACTCCGGGCCGGTAAATTTAGCGTCCTCGTCGTCTGAGTGAGAACTGACCCCCTTTTTCCCCTCCTCGTTTGAGTCGTGAACGGTGGTCGGTCGGGTCTCGAAGTAGCTGAAATACACCAGAAGTTTGTTCGACTTCGAGTAAATACGTAGCAGCCGCCGAAGAGGAGTAGCTATGACTAACAGAGAAGACGAATATGACTATCTTTTTAAAGGTGAGTCGCTGTGTTTATCTTTTTATCTACGTTCATTTTATTTTATTGTTTTTTTTTTTTTTTTTTTAAGCTAGGTAGCTAATTTCCGACACCGAGCGTTTCACCTGTGAGCAAGTGTCATTTGATGCCGAGGTGTTGACCCTGCATGCCTAACAACAAGGTGTAAGACGACATTTATCAGACCTAAGAGACCAAAAAAAAAAAAAAAAAAGGCACCTGCTGCGAGTCGTACGCTAACTTTTTTTTTTTTTTTGACTGTTGTTAGTTGAGACACACGCTGCGGGGCATGGTGTTATTTGCCAAACCCCGGCCATATGATTGCAGCTTATGAGGACTTTTTATGAATCGCGTTGAAAGCAGCATCTGCGGTGGAGTCATCATCTTTTTCTCAGGCCGATGACGCAATCATCTTAGGATGCGGTGTTGATGGGGGGTCATAAAAATGTGACAGGGACCATAAAATCATTGCAGCCTCCGTGTAGACTTGCTTAGAGAAGAAAGCTCGGTCCATTATTTATTTTTTTAATTTTTTTTTACCTGAGGACTTCATTGTTTACTGGAAGAATCATCCATGTTTGTAGTTCTTACTGTATAGAGCTTTGCCACTTAGGCCAAACTATCACTTCTTCTGTTGATAACAGTTTTCACTTGCTCCTATTATTAAACCACCTTCTCTCTAATAATTAACAGTTGTCAATATGGTGTAACAAACATTTTAAAAGCCTTATATATATATATATATATATATATATATATATATCAGCAGGCTTTCCTTGTGACTGGATATTTTTAACAATATGCAAAAAACACTATCCCATAATGTGTCATCTGGTATAAAAGATACTGGGGGGCTGCTAACTCGTACAGACAGTAGTTCATAGTTGTACTTTAAGCATAAGCAAGGGGAAATTAAGTGCCCATGGTCTGTTCAAATATAGAACACTAAACAAGCATGTGCTGTCAAACTGGAAATACCTGCATGAAGTGTGTTTGTGTGCGTAGC